CGCTCACAGCCACCCCAGTGTCGACCTGCTATGCTCAGGCGATTCTTCTGCCTCTGTCTTCCAAGTAGCCAGAACTACAGGTGCGTGCTACTATGCCTGGCTAGTTTTTTGATTTATTGCAGTGGTGAGGTCTCGCCAAGTTGCCAAGGCTGTTCTCGACCCCATGGGCTCAGGTAATCCCCTCACCTTGGCCTCCCAAAGTGCTGGAATTACAGTCTTGAGTCTCCACGCCCAGCCCCCACATCTTAAAAAAAGAGAAAAAAATGAGCCTAAAGACTGTAGAAAAAAAAATTATCATGGGTCCTAGGCACCAAACGTTTTGAGGTTAAGTCAGTTCTGGTTGGTGCCTAGTGAAAAAACAGCACAAAATAGAGTTTCTCTGGTTACTCTGAGTAGATCTGGTCATATGGGTAGGTCAATACTGCATGCTCTGCAATAATCATTAACTAGAAGAATAACCAGCTTCATTCTACTTGGTCACAGATGTTAAGATTAACATCACATCCTTCTCCTGAGAATTCGTCTTCCAACTACTAGCCCAGCCCATCTTGTCTGTGTGATTGACCACCCATGACTGATCAGTCCCTGCATCTCTCCAGTCAAAAGAAAACAGACTATCACCATGGCAACGACAACCCCTTCCCACCTTCATGTTCCATAGGAATGCTCTTTCCCAGCATCCTGGGAAACAAAAAATTATAAACCCCCTCCTCCAGCCTTAAGCATTCAGGGCATACTGTCCTTTTAGGGTCTAGCTCCCTTATCTACTCTTGGGGAAGTGACTTTTTCTGATCTACTTTTTGAATAAACCATTTTTATTTCTTTCTCTTTTTTTTTTTTTCTGAGTTGGAGTCTTACGCCATCGCCCAGGCTGGAGTGCAGTGGTATGCTCACGGCCACCCCAGCACCAGCCTGCTGGACTCCAGAGATCCTTCTGCCTCAGCCTTCCAAGTAGCTGGAACTGTAAGGACGCCCGGCTGATTTTTGATTAATTGTAGAGACAAGGTCTTGCCAAGTTTCTCAGGTTGGTCTTGAGCCCACGAGCTCAGGCAATCCACTTGCCTCAGCCTTCTAAAATGCTGGGATTACAGGCTGAGCCAACAAACCCAGTCAAACTATTTTTCTAATCTACCTTCTGTGCAATTCTTTGCATAGCAACAGCGCCAACTCAGCTCACCAAGCTAGCACCTAGGGAACTAGTTGTCAATGTTTTGATCATCAACTCTGAGTAAGTAAGACTTAACACTGTACATTATAAATAGAGCCAGGTGCGGTGGCTCACACCTGTAATCCCACTTTGGGAGGCCTAGGCAAGAGAATTGCTTGAGCCTAGGGATTTGAGACCAGTTTGGGCAACTTGGTGAGACCTCACCTCTACAACTAAAAACAAAAAAAAAAAAATTAGCCAGGTGTAGTGGCACGTGCTTGTAGTTTCAGCTACTTGGAAGGCTGAGGTGGAAGCCCAGCAGGTCGAGGTTGCAGTGGCCATTAGCATGACACTGCACTTTTCAGCCTGGGCAACAGAGTGAGACTTCAATTTAAAAACAAATAAATAAACAGACTATAAATAGAAACTTGAAATGCCAGTGTGGAGAATTTGTCCACTTCATGTGTTGAAGGCCTGGCTAACTGGTGTGCACAGTCCCTTTTCCAAGAAGTTGCCACCTCACCTGGACTGTTGCCCAATGTTGCCAGACTTTCTTGTGTTTCAAGAAAAGCTGGAAACACTAAGTTTTATGTAAAATCTCCCAGTTTAGAAATGCTAGCTCAAATTTCAAAGAAAATTGCTTCTGGAATGAACCAAACAAAATACCTGGATGGATTGTATCTGGCACTATGTAATTTCTGTTGAGAAAAGCTGCTTCAGGGAGAATCCTTATGAACAAATGGCAGGTGTGGGGATGTGAGAATCAACACATCAGGAAGAGAAAAATGGCATGGTTGTAGTGTGAGCACAAAAAGGTAATACTGATTACAGTAAGCTGTATGAGTCTTATTACTTATGTGTAGTCCCTTGGTGATAAGAATCATTAATCTAATTAACAATTTCACATTCTGTAGAATTCCATTTGGATTATTTTCATGCTGTCTCACCCTCCTTATGAGTAAGTAGGGCCAGAATTCCATAACTTAAATGCATCAAGGAGAACTCTGCTCATAATTGTGGATTTTGAATTTTTAAAAGATACATAATTAGGCCTGAATAAAGGCCTGTGTATTACTTCTAGTCAAGTCACACTTGTCTGACTTGCTTTGGGGCTTACAGCATAAAAAAGGAGAGGGAAGACATCTACATTCCTTTGTTTTAACTCTTTAGGGGCAAATATTTAGTAAAAATTATTTTAAAAATTAAAACTTTCAAGATTTGTCCGAAGAGCTGCATGTATCCACTTTCTAGTGACCAAGTCAGCCTGTGCACTGTCAGAACACCACTGGGCACACCCAGTTCCATGCCTCTCTTCATCTCAGCTGATTTCACTTTCTAATCCTAGAGTGTAAACAAGCAGTTAAGATCTAGTGTGATGGGCTCCTTAGAGTGGGAAAGTATTGGTTCCCATGGAAACAGAAGCAGGGTCTCTGACTCAGGCTTGGCGGGGGAGGGAGGACTGTAAGCCTTCCTGGAGGAAGTGACTGTCTTCAGTAAGAGCAGAAATTGATTAGACTTCAATATGGGTACAGGGCAAGAGTGAGGGAAGCAACCCAGAATTGAAAAAGTGTGACAGGATCCGAGTTCAATTGTGTTGGAGGGCGCAAAGCATCATTCTATTTTAATCTTACTTATAGCATGTGTCACTTTCTGATCATTTCTTGTTTACTTGCTTACTGTCTGTCTTTTACCCCTCTCCCCTCATACAGAATAGGAGTCCTAGCCTGTGAATTCCTCAGTGACTGGCACAGATGAGTGTTAATCTTTCCTGAGGTTCAGATCCTGTCCAAGTACTTTCCTCACTCCCCACCCCCACCATCCAGCAGACACAAAATTCTTCACAGCTGGCTCAAATGCTTTCTTCTCTGAAACCTCCCCCATCTCTTCTCCCCACTCCTACTCTCAGAATTAATTACTTCTTTGAGCGTTCCCCCAGCTATTGATCCTTCCTTGCAGCATCATTTTAATTATGCATAGTGTTAGTTTGCTGTTTCCTTGTTTGTCTCCTACACTCCTCATTAAGTTTTAAATCATGAAGACAGTGTTATTTTTATCTGACTCTGTAAAGTTTGACACCACTTTGGGCAGGCTTTTATGCACAACATGGGCTCAAACATATTTTGAATAAATGAATTAGGGAGAGGTCCATGAACACGCCCCCACTCCCACCCCAGTGCTCAAGAGCAATCTTTTAAAACAAAAATCCGACCACAAGGCCAATCTTCATCCCTGGAAATAGAATTCTAACTCTTCTAAGCACAATGGTTACCTTAGGGCTCTGTGTGAACCTGCTCCCATCCACCTCTCCAGGCATGTTCCTTCTCCACCCCTGGTCTAATACAACTAGACTGCTCAGGGTGACCTGCACTTCTGGGTTGTACTGATTCATGCCACAGGGCTTTTACTTCATTACTCTGCCTGGAATGCTTTTTTCACTTTCCTGCCTGGCTCAGTTCAGGCTTCTCAAGCAAGCTTTCCTTCTTCGAACTCAGGAGAAACTTTTATTTATTTACTTATTATTTACTATTTATTTTCTAGAGTTGGGGGTCTCCTCTGTTGTCCAGGATGGAGTGCTGTGGCATGATCACGGCTCACCGCAGCCTTGAGCCCTGAGCTCAGGCGATCCTTCCACAGTAGCCTCCTCAGTAGCTAGGACTACAGGCCTGCTCTACCACATCTGGTTAATTTTTACATTTTTTTTTTTGTAGCGACGAGGTCTTGCTATGTTGCCTGGGCTGGTCTCCAGCTCCTGGACTCAAGCAATCCTCTTGCCTCGGCCTCCCAAAGTATTGGAATTACAAGCGTGAGCCACCGCGCCCGATCCCAGAACCTTTTTTTAAAAAAAAGTACCAAGAACAGAAATTTACGGTGCTATCTCATTTATGTGATTAAAAATAAAAACAATACTAAAGCGAAAATGTAATCTTTAAAATGTCACACAACTTACATGTATGCTAGACTTAGACCTCCGTCTGTATTTGCGATTTTCTTTCACTGTCTGCATGCACCCATTTTGCAGACACCTTAGGTAGTGTCTATAGGTTTACCCGCAGGTCGAGTCAAACGCTCCTCCTCTCAGGCTTTCGTGCACAACCCTATCTCAGCATTCACCATCTTAACATAAGCAGACTAAGCCTGCCTCTCCCACCAGGGTGCGAGCTCCGGAAGTGGCGAGAACAACGTGTCTGTCCACCCAGCGCCTGACACCAGTTGGTTCCAGGCCTATTTCCTGAGTGGAAGTAAGAGCTCCTGCCTAGAGGCCGGGCGCGGTGGCTCACACCTCTAATCCCAGCACTTTGGGAGACAGAGGTGAGAGGACTGCATACGCCCATGAGTTCGCCAGCCTGAGCAACTTGGCGAGACCTCGTCTCTGCAATAAATCAGAAATAACCGGGCGTGGTGGCGCATGCCTGTAGTCCTAGCTACTTGGAAGGTTGAGGTGGAAAGGATCGCCTTAGCCCAGCAGGTCGAGGCCGCAGTGGCCGTGAGTGTGCCACTGCACTCCAGCTTGGGCGACAGAGTGGGAATCTGACTCAAAAAAAAAAAAAAAAAAAAAAAAGCTCCTGCCCTGCATGACCGGTGCATTTCTTCTTTAAGGAGGGTCTCCCCTTCCGCTCAGGAAATACAACCGGCTCGCATCCATCAAGGGAAGGCGCTGGGGCAAGAGAGTGAAACATCAGTCGGCCCTGAAAGTCAGGACAAGACGACGCTGTAAATTTCAGGGCCCCAAAACGCAAGCAAGCGCCGGGACTCCCAGGAAAGCGAACGGACTGAGCGCAGCTGGGGAATCACCCACACCGGAAGTCACGTGCGCAGCGGCGCCCAAATCACTCTCTCGGTAGTCGACTATTCAGCCTCGCAGGCGTCTCTGGCGCGCTTCGCTGAGATACGCTCTCTCGGTGCTCGACTCGCCCGTGCTGCTGCCGCCGCCGAAGGAGGGGCAAAGCTCAAGATGGCGGACAAAACGCCAGGCGGATCTCAGAAGGCCAGTTCAAAGGTAATTTCTTAGAGGACTTCGTAAGTCAGTGGGTCTGTCACTGTCGCCTGGGGCCTATAGACGCTTCTGGCCTACGAGGGGCGATTGGGATTGGGGTCCGCGTTCAGGTCGCGACAGCAGGCCCGGGTGCCGCCGCACTGTGGTGCGCAGGTTGAGAGGCCTGCTGTCTCCCCTCAGCCCCAGCCTGGATTCAGCCCAAGACTGGCGTGCCCAGGGGCAGGCGGCGTGAATATTCGGCCCGTGCTTGGCATTGGGTGAGATCAGGAATTCACACGGAGGCCCGAGGCCGAGAAAACGCGCCCCGGTCTCTCAACTTGCTGCGCTCTCGAGGCCGCGGGACTGCGCCTGGGAGAGGCGGGAATCGCTTCCCGGTGCTTCTGTGTCTGTTTGCTTTTTTTTCTCGGTTCATTGGTTTTGGAGCTCACTCACTTCCGGCTTCCCTCAGTTTCCCTGGTGCTTTCCAGAGATTAAATCGTCTCTCGGGTCGCAAGCTGTGAGGGAGGCCCAGTTGTGGAAGGACGCGCGGGGTGGGAAGTGCATAGGCGGGAGCCGCTCTCCTTTGCTGTGCTGCATAGCCAAGGTTAACGCTATACTCCACACGTGGTCTTTGCCTCACTTTAGAGGAAGGGAAAAATGCTTTTGAGGGTCGAGTATTTGTGGTCTTCTTCATGTTTGTTCCACTGAAAAGAGAACTTACGCAGACTTGGAAGCTACTTAAGATGAATCCATTGTATTTGTATTTACAGGGAACCGTGTGCACGCGTTGTGAAACCAGTGAACTATGTGGCACTAGTAAGGCTGTGCTTATCATCGGGTCTGAGTTGCCATCTTGGGCGGGTCATTTAATCATCTTTTGCTTCTTTAAGTTTATCATCTCGAACGAAAGTAATAGGTACTGGTACGAGGTAGTTATTAAGCTTTTCGATGCAGGAAGGTGTGTATCACTTAAAGTTCTAGGGCAACCCCCACCGATCCCCTCCTGCTCTGGGAGCTTTTCTGACCTCTCAATAAATCCTGCTCCCCCCCCAAAGTAAATAAATAAAGGTTCTAGGGACTGTTAAATTTTAAAGAGTGTGTATGCTTATAAATCAGTTATTAGGAAGTTAAGTTTCGTAGGAGAGAGTCTTGCATCTACAGTGAACCATTTTACACTTGCTTTCTCAGTTTTTAGTAATTTGAATCTTTATGCCATTTGGTGAATGATGTCCACCAAATAATTAGTGGATAACTTATAATGGCCTGACCAGATATCCTTTAGTTACACAGAAACTAAAACTATGGTAGGGGACCAGTTTTGTCTGCTTTACATCATGCCTTACTTCATCTCAGTTTTTTCCCTCCCCAGTACATTTCTCCTTCCCGATCTTGGCTCACTCTGCCATCTTTTCTCAACAGATCCATGACAGGAGTCTGTAAGAACAGCCTCACTTCTGTTAGTGAGCTATTACTAAAGCTAGTTGCATCCATTATAATTCATGCATAAGCCTCACAATTTTTTGTTTCTTATAAAGTAATATTTTAAATATTCCTTAGTTGAGGCCTTGGATACATTAAAAACATTTCAATGTATGTGTTCAGGCTTCCTTCTTATAAGAGTACTAATGATTGTGAATGTGTGATTACTCTGTATACGTAAATTACTGGATTTTCTGGTAATATAGTTTTTCAGTTTATATTACTTTGGATTATCATGATGCTGCTGCTAACAGATTTCTTACTGATATCTTTAAAAGGAATCAGAATATCTCAACGAAAATAGTATTGACGTGATTTCTCCATTAATATGGAGGCTGCATAATGTAATGGGAAGATTATGGATTTTGCTAACAGAATCCAGGATTTGGATTATATATGTTTGCCTTAATATAATTGCAAATTGATTAAACTCTTGAGACTAAATTTTCTCATTTGTAATATAGATGTAATTCCTTTTTTACAGGGTTGCTATAAGGATTAAACGAGTTAATGTTTATAAAGTACATAATAAATCTTAGTTTTTTTGGTTTTTTTGAGTTGGAATCTCACTCTGTCTTCCAGACTGGAGTGCAGTGCCACCACAACCTTGGCCTGCTGGGCTCAGGTGATCCTTCCGCCTCAACCTTCCAAGTAGCTGTAACTACAGGTGCACACTACCACACACAGCTAATTTTGTGATTTATTGTAGAGACGAAGTCTCACCAAGTTGCCCAGGCTGGTCTCGAACCCCTGGGCTCAGGCCTTGGCTTCCCACAGTGCTGGGATTATAGGCTTGAGCCACTGCATCCAAATCTTAGTTTCTTTCACTCTCCTTTTTTGTTTTGTTTTTAGAGGGAATTAAAAAGTACTTAATTTTCGAAGTGTCAGGATAAATTTTTTTTTTTTTTTGAGTTGGAGTCTCACTCTGTCGCCCAGACTGGAGTGCAGTGGCTGCTCCTGGCCACCGCAGCCTCAACCTGCTGGGCTCCGGCGATCCTTCCGCCTCAGCCTTCCACCTCAGCCTTCCAAGTAGCTGGAATTACAGGCACGCGCTACCATGCCCGGCTGATTTTTTGATTTATTGTAGAGATGAGGTCTCGAACCCGCAGGTTCAGGCAATCCACTCACCTCAGCCTCCCAAAGTGCTGGGATTACAGGCTGAGCCACCGAGCCCGGCTGTCAGGATAAATTTTAATCCTGTCATTTGGAATGTGTAATCATGACTGGCCAGATTGCTGCTTTTTGTTTCTAATACAAGTCCAGAAATTGTTAGAGAAAGTGTAAGATCATTTTGACCAATACTATGGTATTTGGAATTTCTAGCCTTTTATCTCTCCGGTTTGATATCCTTTCCTTTGGAGAGAATAGACAGATGACTTACAGTCCACAGTACTGATGACATGAACAGACACTTGTGTTTCATGATTCTTCTTCTTTGGTAGTTAAATTCCCATTGGTATGGATATGGCGAGGGATTCTTAGTAACCATATTTCTAGACATTGAGGAAAATGTTAATTTTAAGATGTACAATATGACAAATCATTAACAGCTCTTATAAAGAGATTAGATAAACTCTATAGTTCTTCTTGCTTTAAAATTACATTTTATGTATGTGTAGTCAAACGACTTTATTCATAGTTATGAAGAGAGCCACATGCCCTTTTATTTACTGTGTAATTTTACTGTATTTTGCATTGTAAAGCCTGACAAATGTAGACATTCAGCAAATGTTTTAGAAATAGAGCTAACATTTTCCTATGCATTTATTTCTGTTTATTACTAGACCAAAGTATTGCTTGATGGGGAAGGGGTGTGGATGTCATGTGTAGTTTTGATTTTGAGATGAGAGACAATGAGACAGCCTATAATTTGTTCATAAAATTGTTAAACATATTTCCTTAAATATTTATTTTGACTTTAAAATGTTTACTTTTTTAACAAAAAGGATATGAAGAGAATGTAGTATTTTCTTTCCTTCTGCATTTCCTGTGCTGGTAATATTGCTAATATGATGGAATTGTGTGCCCTGTTATTTCATTCTGTGATAGTGCCTATTTTTGCCATATCATAAAAAATTGATTTAGAGAGGTGAATGAATAAAATAGAAAATACTATACTGGCTTCTTTGCACATCCAGTGCTGAATTACTTTGGAAACTATTTTGAGTGACTGCCTTTGCTGGTTAACAAAATATCACTTTTAAGAAATAAGTAGTCTGGGCAGCAGTGGTGTGTGCTTGGTTTGGCTTGGATAGTAGCATTAAGCTAGGTAGCTGTTATTTGTTAATGAATAGACAGCATAGTATATTTGACAATGTTAAGTCAACAGGTATATTGAGACTCTCACTTGTTAGATCTTGTACTTGCTGTTGAGGTAGACAGTGTTAAATAAGACCATACCCTCTTTGGGGGAGCGTAGAAGAGAGTCAGCACATACACTAGTGCAAGATAGAGCTATTGGAAATACCTAAAAGTTTAGAGAAAGAAGTGATAACTCTTTGAATGGAGGGTGGGGAGAGGGAGGCTTCAGGAGCATAGTAGAATTTGATTGATGGGTCCTTTGAACAATGAGTGGAGTTTTTGTTGTTGCTGTTTTTTTTTTTTTTTGAGTTACAGTCTTACTCTCACCCAGGCTGGCGTGCAGTGGCAAGCTCACGGCCACACGGCGTCGAACTGCTGGTCTCAGGCGATCATTCCGCCTCAAGCTTCCAAGTAGTGGGCACTACAGGTGTGCACTACCATGCCCGGCTAATTTTTTTTTTTTAATTTGTTGTAGAGATGAGGTCTTGCCAAGTTGCCCAGGCTGGTCTCGAACTCGTGGTCTCAGGCAGTCCTCTCACCTTGGCCTCCCAAAATGCTGAGATTACAGGCTTGATCCCCTGTGCCCGGCTATGAACGGAGTTTTGAAGGGTAGAGATAGGGTATAAAAAAAGAGATGGATGAAGTGAAGAAAGTAAGTTGCTGGGAAATGGATTGATAAATGGTCTGATAGGACACTTGCATGAAGATAAAAGTTATTGAGACTGGAAGGGCAAGTTCAGGCTAAATTGTAGAGGGCTTTGGATGCTAGGGAATAAAATTAGAGAGCCATGGAAAATTTGAGACAGGAAAGTCCTTTGGAAAGCTGTTTCGGGAGATAATTAAGAAGGATTTGAGGGCAAGGAGGACCAATTTGGAGGTTATTGCAGAGGTGCTGGTAAATAATTGAGGATTGCTTCAAAAATCTTACCTCAGATCCTCTCCTGGGAAACTTTCCCTAACAAACCCCACGTCCTCACGCCCATCCTCATGTCCAGTTGAGATTTGCCTGTCTTCTGTGCTCTTGTGGCATAACCACATTGCTTTGTCTCTTTTTTAGCTCCTAAGTACAGGAGCTATGTCTTATTTTACCTTGTATCTCTAATGCAAAGCACAACATCAAGCCCAGTAAGAACAGTAAATGACTAGATAAAGGGACAGTCTGAACCACCATGGTGTCTTTAGAAAGAAAAAGAACAGTCCCTATGGAAGATATATGTTAGAGGTGAGGTGAACAGGAATTGATGCAGTTGATTATGGGGCATAAGGAAGGAGTCCAGGATGACCTTGTTAATATGCTGCTACTGGTGAACACTTAATGAGCAGTTACTAAGGACCAGGCACTGTTCTAAGTGCTTCATCTGTATTTGCCCTTCACAACAGTCCTGTGAGGCAGGTGCTATTTAACTTCTCAGAAGGAGAAACTAAACTCAAGATAAGTGCTGGTAAATGCAGAATATGTGCACTTCAACATTTTACTGTTTCCAGATCATAGGTGATTGAGAGTTATGATCTAGTGTTAGAAATAGACAAGAGGTGAAGCTAGTTTGGGAGGAGTTTTAGATATGTTGGATTTGAGGAGCTTGTAGGCATTCAGGTGAAGATATCCAGGAAGCAGTCTGAGGACAGATTTGGAGCCCAGAACAAGACCAAGATTGCAGGTCAAGAACCTGAAGTTGGCCAGGCTCGGTGACTCAGCCTGTAATACCAGCACCTTGGGAGGCTGAAGCAAGTGGATTGCCTGAGCCCATGTGTTGGAGACCAACCTGGGCAACTTGGCGAGACCGCGTCTCTGCAATAAGTCAAAAATTAGCCAGGCGTGGTAGCTTGCATCTGTAGTTCTGGCTTCTTGGAAGGCTGAGGCAGAAGGGTCGCTGGAACCCAGCAGGTCAACACTGGGGTGGCCGTGAGTGTGCCACTGCACTCCAGCCTGGGTGACAGAGTGAGACTCCAACTTAAAAAAAAAAAAAAAAAAGAACTTGAAGTCTTTGCAGTACATTAAGGGTGTTGATGATATGCATCCTACAGGAGAAATCATTGAACTTGTGGAGATAAGAGAGTGAGGAGAAAGATATGGGAAATTGGGAGACAGATGAGGGAATTGAGAGCTGTCTAGGCAGAATGGTGGTATTGGAGGAATGTTGTGTGTACACTTGCTACCCACAAAAAGGAAAGCTGTGGATAGCTTGCTAATTTAGAAACTCAGGGATATGGGGCTTTCACTTAAGGGAAAATAGGAGCAGCTCGAAGAATATTAGTTTTGTTCTCAGCCAGCAAGGTATAGGGCCATTTGGTATAAGGTAATTGGCTTCACCTTTAATCCCCTTGGCAGCCATTGGAATGATCCTTTTTCCTTTTTGATTTTCTTGGCAGTTCTTCCTTACATCTCTGTTGCCTGCTTTTTCTGTCCCAAGATAGATTTATCTCCCCCCACCACTTTATTTCAATAACTTTAAGGGGTTACAAATAGTTTTTAGTTACACAGTTGCATTGTGTAGTGGCAAAGAAGTCTGGGCTTTAAGTGTACCCACTACCCCACCTGTGCCCGTTGTAACCGATAGGTGATTTTTCATCTTTCCACCTCTTCCCACCTTCCCCCTTCTGAGTCACCAGTGTTCATTACTATATCATTCTCTAAGCCTTTACAGATCCTTAGTTTAGCTACCACTTATGGGTGAGAACGTGCAGTGTTTGGTTTTCTGTTCCTGAGTTAGTTCACTTAGGATGATATTCTCCAATTCCACCCAAGTTGCTGCAAAAGACATTATTTCATTCTTTTTGATGGCTGATGAATTATCTTATGTATGCTTCTTTATTTCTTCAAATTTCCCTTATTATGCTTTTTTCATTTCTTGTTTTGGGTCTTTTTTAAAATTAGGGGACAGGGTCTTGCTATGTTGTCTGGGCAACTCCTAACCTCAGGTGGTCATCCTGCCTTAGCCTCTTGAGTAGCTTGGATTTCATGTGCCAGCCACCATGCTGCTGCTTTGGGTCTTCTCATTTGGATAAGGAATTGTGCTGTAGATTTTAGGAGATCTTTAAGCATCATTAGTTTGTATTCCTCATTAAAAATAAAAACCCCAAACTAAATCATACAGTTCATTTCCAGGTTAACAAGAGGGAGAACTCAGCTTCTGAAATAGTGTTTACTTACTGTGTCCCCTGACCACAGGCTTTATAATTTTTAAGTTGGTTATTCTTTTAAAAATTGTATTAACTACTATTTGCATCTTTCCAAATGTTCTTAAGTCCAGACCCACTTTCTCAGTGCTGTGTAGCTAGAGATAGGTGTGTATCAGTGGAAAATATCTGGTTTGCAGCAACTGTGATTAGTGACATCTTTGGTTAATTGAAATCAACTGATGTGTCTTCTTAAGCCTCGCTGTTGTTGATCAATTTAAAAATTAATCAAATTGTGTTATTTGGAAAGCTGACAAAAGTGCTCCTTTTGAACTGATTACTTTTGTTTCAGTGATTATTTACCAATTTGGTGTCTGGTTATGCAAGTGAGATTGTTGAAGATAAGATTACAGAGCTTCATCTTTAACCTTTTGCACTCAGAGACATCTCCCCTATCACCTACCAGCAAATCAATCGCAGTTTTTTACAAAATAGTGAAAAACTAATCACTTCACTAAAATAACTTGGAACCAGTTATTTAATTGTAATATTTAGTTTATAGAATTTTGGACATTGAGGAGCTTATTTATGATCAAAAAATCAAAATTTTATATCTTATATTTTTCTAAGGTAACATGTGAAACAGTCACAGCCACGGATTGCGAGTTCACTGATACATGTTGTGTAATAGTAATTTATTGGATGTCTTCCACCTGGTGTTTTTCTATTTGGGCAAACAATGCAGTCTTGTTTTCTTCCTCCCACATTGATAATATGTAATTTATTGTCCCGTTTGTTGTTCGGAGAAGATGTGGAGGGACATGCTCATAATTCCTGAAAACCACTTCTCAAGTGATTGATTATATCTCAGTATATATTCCATCTCTTTATTTGCTTTTTCATGCAATTTGAATGGAAAACTTCAAGAAAACATACATATTTGAGAAATTTGCAGTTGCATAAGTTTGCCCATAGAATCACCAGCTGTCCTGAGGGGACAGTCTGAGTGGTTTGCTAGATTTACAATGTCCCCTCAGAGGGGACATCAAGAGCAAAGGGTTAGATGATTTGGAGTCAGGAAAGATTTAACTGTCTGAAAATAGGTAGGGTGTCTAGGTTCTTGTAGCTTTTATTTTTAAATCCTAGTAATGATGATTTAGATGTGGTGGCATAGAAGATTAAAGAAAGGCTAGCACTTTCCGAGCTACTCTCATATGTTTGTATGAGTGAACAAGGGTTGGTTGTCTTGGGCTGATTTTTGCCTGGGTTAATGCTCAGTATAATGGAGTGCAGAGGAGTAAATTGATTCAGTGTAAAAAAATCTAACCACCTGTTCTTGCTCTTTGGACAAGGTAAATAAACCAATACTGTATGGATTTATATTAGTCTTTCTATATTTGCTCTTTTCTGTAACATATCAATCTTCAATTTTCTCTTAAAATAATATATTTTGTGTATATGAAATCTGGAACTGGGAGCTAGAGTCAAGTGAAGATACTTGTGATCTCAAGTTCTTTTTTTATTTTTTGTTTTTATTTTTTATCTCACTCAGCTAGACTGCATCAAGTTCTTGATTTCACTTTTTTTTTTTTTTTTTGAGTCAGGGTCTCACTTTGTCGCCCAAGTAAGAGTATAGTGTTGCAATCACGATGTAATGCAGTTTCAAGTTCCTGGGCTCAAACATTCCTCTCACCTCAGCTTCCCAAGTAGCTAGAACTACAGGCACATGCCACCATGCCTGGCTAAGCTGGTCTCTAACGGGGCTCAAGCAATTATCTTGTTTTTGCCTTACAAAGTGCTGAGATTACAGGCGTGAGCCATCACACCTGGCCCTTGATTTCACTTTTAACAATTAGATATAAATACACATAAGTAAATCTTACTACCTAGTACCTTCAAAAATAAAAACAGCTCAGTTGACACAGTTAAGTTCTGGATCTCCCAGTAAAAATTTCAGTAAGATGCCGTGTATTATTTGGTTAATAGCCTTTCTTCTTGTACCTAGAAAAAATAAGATGAAATTTTAACATTGACATTGTTGGAATGTACTGTTATTTAAAGACTGAACTCTTTCTTTTGCCAACAGTCAGCATGTGGCATACTCTTGATTTTTTTTAAAAAAAAGCCCCCTTGAAGCAAGTTGTAAATGGTGGCCTCTTATGGATTGGATAATAATATTTTCTTTTTCTTGTACTATTTCTGCAGTAGAATTTGTACTTTTTACTAGACACGCAAGGGTTTATGTATGGATTTCTTTATGTGGCTTTAGGTGGTTGGAGAAAAGAGTGGTTTCTGTGCTGTATACCAAGAAGTTGCTGGGCAGTGTTGTGGCAATAAACAGTGTTATCAATGATTAGGAAACAGCTTTTGCACAAAAATTCTATTGTAAAAATGATGGGTAGGTTTCCAGTCAGTATTATAAAAAGGTGACTATGCCTCAGATATATCGCACTAGCATTTACATCATAGTTTTGGAAGCATGCATCCTGAATTTTTTTTAAAAATGACAACACGTTTACTTTGTATCATAACTTTTTATAAGTCAGAGATTGATTGCCCTCATTCAGTTTTATTAACTGAGAAGAAATTTCTAAAAGTTGTGAAAGATTAGGTTTGTATAACATGAAACACTATTTTGTTAGTATAATAAGACATTTAAAAAATATTGACTTTTATTTTTAATAATTGTAGACAAGATCATCGGATGTTCACTCATCTGGGTCTTCAGATGCACATGTGAGTATAAAAGCAGTCTTCCTTTTTTCTTTAACATTTAATTTCTTCTCATGCACCCCTACATCTATGATTTTACTTGAAAAATAAATATAATTATATTGTATGTACTGTTTCTTTTACTCCTTTTTGCTAGGTGCTTTTTGTGTATTCTACTTGCATAAGTTATCCCTTTCAAACCATATTAGAAACCTAATATATATATTTCCTTATTTTTTTGTTGTGATTATAAAATTCTGTACACATGTGTGTACTTTTACATTGACTGTGGGATTGCATTATACACTGTCTTTTCTCACTGCACAGTACGCCTGTTGGAAATCTCAGTAGGTCATAGCTGTAATCTATTCTTTCTAAAGGTATCACAACATTCCATCGTGGAAAGGTATAATTATTTATTAAGCTGTTTCTGTGATGATGGACATATGCTGTTTGTTTAAAGCTTTTGAATAATATATTGAATAATACAGCAATACATAATTCTTTTTAAATATTTTAATTAAAAAAATTTTTAACCTTCTCGGGTTCTATTTTTCTTTTTCTAAATTAAAATTTTTAAAAATTTGATTAATATTTCTTTACATGTGTTATGACACCACTGTTCAAAATGTGGCCTACAGACTCCTAGGGGCCACTGAGACTCTTAGGGAGGGTTTATGAGTTCCAAACTATTTCATAATAATACTAAGGTTTTTTTTACCTTTTAAATTGTTTTGACATTTGCACTAATGCACACGCAGTTCGAGGTACAAAAGCATTTGGTGGGTAAACTGTTGACACTTTGGCATGAATCAAGCAGTGATGCCAAAATATACTTGTAGTCATTGTATTCTTTCCCACTAGGCATAATAAAAATATGCTAGTTTCACTTAAGAATGTTCTTGGTGAAGCAGTAAAAAGAAAGTCTTGACCTTTTGTACGGGTCTTTTTTAGATTCTGTGGGGTGAAACAAGAAGTACATAGAAGGTACTTCTGCTAACCCAAGTGTGATGCTTGAGTTGGGACATGAAACTAACTGCTTTTTCTGGAATACCTTTTTATTGTTACTTGTTTTTGAGTAGGAGTGCAGGCTGCTCATGGCCACTGCAGCCTCGACCTGCTGGGCTCAGGCGATCCTTCTGCCTTAGCCTTCCAAGTAACTGGAACTACAGGCATGCGCCACCACACCCAGATAATTTTTTAAAAAAATTTCTTGTAGAGATGAGATCTCGCCAAGTTGCCCAGGTTGGTCTTGAACCCATGGGCTCAGGCAATCCTCTCACCTCAGCCTCTCAAAGTGCTGGGATGATAGGCGTGAGCCACCACACCCAGCTGGAATGCCATTTTTACTTGGGAATGACTGACGAACTATGGTTAGTCAGACGTGGTTATTTGGCAGACGTTTTCCTGTAAATAAAGAAAATGAATTTATTTCAAGGAAGACGACTGACTGTTACTTGTATAAAATTCAAGCTTTAAGTGCCAGTTAATAGTTACTGAAAACTTTCTATGTTCTTTGGGACTTGTTTGTTAAAATCAGTGGTGATATTAAGGATTGTGATTTTTTGATAGTGTGTAATGAAATTTGTCAATATTTGGACATGGGTTATTTCTAGTTTTCAGTGCTATGATGTGATTTTTAAAAAACTCACTTTACTTTTCTGAAGATGGATGCATCTGGACCCTCGGATAGTGATATGCCAAGTCGGACACGACCAAAGAGCCCAAGAAAACATAATTATAGGAATGAAAGTGCCCGTGAAAGCCTTTGTGATTCTCCTCATCAGAATGTCTCAAGAGTGAGTATTGATAAAAATAAGAAAAGATATTTAATGATTTTAATCTGTTCTTGATTGAATTTGGTGGTTGAATATCTTGGTTTTGCACTTGTTTTATCTTGTTCTATTTGAAAATAACACTCTTTCTATATTTGGGGTAGCAATAAACTTAAGTTCATGTGGAAATTTTTTTTTCTTTTTTCTTTTTTTGAGTTGGAGTCTCACTTTGTCGCCCCGACTGGAGTGCAGTGGCCGCTCCCGGCCACTGCAGCCTCGACCCACTGGGCTCCGGCGATTCTTCTGTCTCAGCCTTCCAAGTAGCCAGAATTACAGGCATGCGCTACCATGCCCGGCTGATTTTTTGATTTATTGTAGAGATGAGGTCTTGCTGCCCAGGCGGGTCTCGAACCCACGGGCTCAGGCAATCCACTCACCTCAGCCTCCCAAAGGTGCGGGATTACAGGCTGAGCCACCGAGCCCGGCTTTTTTTTTTCTTTTTAAAGATGGGCTCTCCCTCTGTCACCTAGGCTGGACTGCAGTGGTGTGTTTATAACTCACTACAACCTTAAACTCCTGAACTCAAACGATCCTCCCAACTCAGCCTCCTGAGTTTCTAGAACTGCAGGTGCTTGCCTCCATACCTGGCTAATTTAAAAAAATTTTTTGTAGAGATGCAGTCTCACATTATTGCCCAGGCTGGTGTCATACTCCCTGCTGCCAGCATTTAAAGTTTTAAATTAAAAAAACAAAGGAGTGTTTTGGTTATAAAATGGTTAATCATCACATTTATCTTACCCCCATATCCAACATTTACTGAATCAAGTACCAAATAGCAATCATTGGAAATAATATGCAGATGATTTGGATCCAGTTCTTGTTCTCATAGAGCTTAGTCTCACTCTGGGAAGCAAACAGGAACAGGTGGTGTTTACTCTGGTAAGGGCAGGTGCCTAGGGCAATCCAGGGACACAGAAGGAGCTTTTTTGCTTCTAGATCTACAAAGTGCTCTTAGATTCTTGTCCTCCTTCTTTGTCAGGTAATTTTTTTCTTGTGATTGAATTTGTGACATATAATAATAACATAGTCATCACTATCCAGTATAAACCACCGGTGACATGGTCTTTTACTTTCCTTATTTAATATTTCTAGGCATAAATATATTTTTATTTTTCTGAGATTCATTTTATAAGAAAACATTTTAAAATATCCTATTTCGCCGGGCTCGGTGGCTCAGCCTGTAATCCCATGCCTTTGGGAGGCTGAGGTGAGTGGATTGCCTGAGCCCACGGGTTCGAGACCCGCCTGGGCAGCGAGACCTAATTCATCTCTATAATAAATCAAAAAATCAGCCGGGCGTGGTAGCGCATGTCTGTAATTTCGGCTACTTGGAAGGCTGAGGCGGAATGATTGCCGGAGCCCAGCAGGTCGAGGCTGCGGTGACTGGGAACGGCCACTGCACTCCAGTCTGGGCGGCAGAGTGAGACTCCAACTCAGAAAACAAAAAAAATCCTGCTTCAGTTCTGTTTTTACATTTCAGCAAAAATTCTGTAAAACTTTTTAATGGATGATTATGTTGTTCATTTGAGTTAACTCTTCATTATTTTCTTAACCATTTCTCTCTAGGTGTCTAAATTTAGCTCTTAATAGGTATATAGATAAAATTTGAACACAAATTTTGTCTTTTCATTGAATTTCTATGTAATTTTACCAATCATTTAAACTTTTGAAGTTGAAACCAGACACTGAATGATGGGAGAAAACGTTTTTCTTTCTATTTTGAGGGGAAAAAATAATTTTTACTCTGTTGCTAAAATCCAGTATTGATTTTTAGATTATAAACTGCTTTATTTTTCTCAAAGGGATTTTAATATAACTTTAAAATAGTTTACAGCAGTATTACTCTTTCATTCTGCATCTCCCAAGGGCAAGCTTATTTAATAACCAGGGAATTGATAAGGTATAATTTTGTAATTGGTTAACTTTTCATTTTAGGAGAGAGAAATTTCAGATTTCAGTATTTTTAGGTTGTATTTAATAAACATTTCTACCTTTTAAGTTTATCAATCACATGCATACCTGATTGAACTAAAGGTATATAGACAATTTATGTAAGCCATATTTCAGAAGGAAATTGCTTCTAGGTTATGTAAATGAAGACTTCATTAAAATACTATTTTTTTAGGCCGGGCTCGGTGGCTCAGCCTGTAATCCTGTGCTTTGGGAGGCCGAGGTGAGTGGATTGCCTGAGCCCGCAGGTTCGAGACCTGCCTGGGCAACTTGGCGAGACCTCATCTCTACAATAAATCAAGAAATTAGCCGGGCGTGGTAGCGTGCACCTGTAGTTCCAGCTACTTGGAAGGCTGAGGTGGAAGGATCACTGGAACCCAGCAGGTGGAGGCTGTAGTGGTCGGGAGCGTGCTACTACACTCCAGTCTGGGCGACAGAGTGAGACTCCAACTTAGAAAAACAAACAAACAAACAGTTTTCTTATATTTCCGATTAATCGATGTAGTTTTACTTGAGTTGAAACCTAAAATACTATAGCTGATACATTCTTAGCAAAGAAAATGACAGTATTATGTTCATGAAAATCAGTATTATTGGTAAAAAGTTAAGTGTAATTTACTAAATTATGAAAGTAAGTGATGTGACTTAGAGTACTTGAAATGGGAGTTGTAGATGATAAATTCCTGCAAAACTGGACCATGAAAATGTAGGACTCCCTTTTCCTTATTTGAAGATCTGTTTTCTTTTTTTCCCCTCTTTTTATTTTTTCATTTTCACACAGGGATGTGCCAAAGTTGTGTGGCTCATGTCTCACATGCATGTAAACATCCAATCACATGCTTATGAACTACAAAAGGATCTGACGATCTGTTTTCTGTTATTACTACTTTTGCCCCGAAATATGTGTACTTTCCCTCCTCAAATACTTTTATTCTTGTCCTGAGCCTTGGTGATTGTTTCTTTGGTCTATTTTTTTTTTTTTTTTGAGTTGGAGTCTTACTCTGTCACCCAGACTGGAGTGCAGTGGCTGCTTCCAGCCACCGCAGCCTCGACCTGCTGGGCTCTGGTGAGCCTTCCACCTCAACCTTCCAAGTAGCTGGAACTACAGGCGTGCGCTACCATGCCCGGCTCATTTTCATTTATTGTAGAGATGAGGTCTCACCAAGTTGCCCAGGCGGGTCTTGAATCCGCGGTTTCAGACAATCCACTTGCCTCAGCCTCCCAAAGGCGTGGGATTACAGGCTGAGCCACCGAGCCCGGCTCTTTGGTCTATTTTTAAGAAAAATGGCTTTTCTATGTTTTTGACCTTGAGCTGGCAAATGAAGACATTCTTTTTTTTTTTTTTAAGACATTCTTTAATGAACACTTATGTCGGAGTCAAACCCAAGGCAAGCACCTGATGTGTGGGGTAGACCCAGCATTTCTTCAGTGAAGTTTCTAAAACAATCTATTCTGAAGACTTGGCTATCAGTTGAGTTGTATTAAAATTGTAGCTAGCATTAAGGATGTGTATGTAAAGGTGTGCTTTTTGTTTCTTTTTGTAGCCTCTTCTAGAAAACAAACTTAAAGCATTCAGTATTGGAAAAATGAGTACAGCTAAGCGAACTTTAAGCAAGAAGGAACAAGAAGAATTAAAGAAAAAGGTAATATATTCTGAATTGTCCTTGGAAATTAATATGTCTAAGGGGACAATAAATATGTGGGCAGTAGAGAATGTTTCCCAAAGATTCTTGACCAATAGGAGATCCTCAGTTCCACCTCCCGGTCAAATCTATAACACAGGTATAGGTGTCTAGCTTCTATTCTTGTCCCTTTCTTTTTTTGAGGTAACAATTTTGGTTATTTTCTGGTCTTTTTTTGTGTGTATAAGCAAGCGTATGTGTGTGTATACATGTGTTGAACCTACTCCCCTTAGATGAATGATACTAAGCTATATAAGTCCACTTTTTTCCACCTTTTAAAGCTTAACATTATATCTCAGAGATTACTTCAAGTATATAGAAATATTACTTACTCTTTTTTATGGCTGTGTATATATGCAATTGACTAAAATCCTGTTGAGAGCATTTGTACTTTGTTCTTTTGTCATTATAAACAATGCTGTTACTTATGTTATGCAGATGTTTTTAGTTTTTTTTGCTAGTGTATTTTTGGGATATATTCTTGTGAGATTTGGGAGGTATTCTTAAATGTGAGATTACTGGGTTAAATCGTAAATGCATAAATGTTGTTCTGCCATATTGTTATATTGTCAAATTGTTCTCTCTAGGGGCAGGGACCCTTTGCATCCCTCTCGGCAGTGTGTGTTTGTTTCCCCATAGGGCTGCCAATAGAGGATGTAACTGAAGGAGCTTTGCCAATCTGTGAAGTGAAAAGTGGTATCAGTGTAGTTTTAAATTTGATTTCTCTTATTATGAGTAAAGTTGGTGAACAGTTTTTCTAGGGCTTGTTTCTGTGACCTGTCTGCTCGTATTTAGACCATGTTTTCTATAAGTTATATTAACACTTTGTTGTACAGGGTGCAGTGTTTTTTCTGTTTGTTGATTGTCTTTATTTTGCTTTCAGTATTTTCATTCAAAAACTGTTGTTATGTATTCAGATTTATCAGTATTTCCCTGTGACTTCTGGTTTTTTAGTTAAGTTTTTCCTGCTACCAGCTTATAAAGGAATTTCCTCATGTTTTCTTCTACTACTTGTATGGTTTCATTTTTAAGAATGTTAAATCTAACTCAAATGCGGTTTATTCGGGTTTATGATGTGAAGAATAGATTCGTTTTAATCTTACCCCATTTATCAAAAAGTTCATCTGTTTCCTACTGATTTGAAATGCTCTTTTATTTAACACTAAATTTCTACACCATACTGGGTTTTTTCCTGTATTTTCTGTTCTGTTTCATTCATACTTTTTTGGGAATATTTAGAATATCTGTAATTGAAACTGTCAAGAAGAGTTTTTTTTCTTTAATACCATCTGTTTGGAGTAGGTGTTGCTGTTTCAACTTCTAACATTTTGGCCCTTGAATTGTCTTTAAACAAATTTACTTGTTTACCTATACTCAGTAGAGGAGCAAAGCATAGTTTCAGTGTTAAGTAAATGTCTAATATCTACTAAGGATTAGATGTTATTACTTGCTAAGAGTGCTTAACTTGGGAAGGGAGGGTTTCATCTACATTATTGATGAATTTAATCATGTGTACATTAATAATTTTATATTATGTGATAATATTTTTGTGTGTATTCAGGAGGATGAAAAGGCAGCTGCTGAGATTTATGAGGAATTTCTTGCTGCTTTTGAAGGAAGTGATGGTAATAAAGTGAAAACATTTGTTCGAGGAGGTGTTGTTAATGCAGCTAAAGGTCAGTGACTTAATAGTTTTTTAGCAAATCCCATCTTGGTTGAATGACTGAAGGTTGATAATTATAGCAAGAAGTTTGGTTGCTTTTGAATTTCACATTTTCTTTCTATCAGCACCCTCTAGTGGTTATATTAATTAGCAAAATAAATGGGCAAGTATGGATTGATATGAAGCACAATGACTTTTCTAACCTACTTAGTCCCTGTCAAGTTTCAAGACAGTGGATCACTTTGCAAAAATTAAGATGTATTTCATAGTTTTACTACAAATGATTAAATTAGTATTAAGAGGGCGAGTGGTAATATTTGGATTTAATTTCATATTTGTCCATTGTGATAAATCTTAATACTAAAGCATTTTACTAATTTTTGCTTATCTTTAAGTAAAAATAGTAAAATCAAATAATGTGAAATTAATTTTAAAACTTAGTGTTTTAAATTTTAGAAGAACATGAAACAGATGAAAAAAGAGGTAAAATCTATAAGCCATCTTCAAGATTTGCAGATCAAAAAAATCCTCCAAATCAGTCTTCCAATGAAAGACCACCATCTCTTCTTGTGATAGAAACCAAAAAACCTGTAAGTCATACTTAAGTAATTGATCATTTATGTTAAGAGATGACAATGTCAGTGAAACTTTTAGTACTTCCACTGTAAGCAGGACTTTGGTTTTTTTACTTTCTTTTTTGGGGGGGGAGTAGATTTTGAGTTTTGATGTTTTCTAGTCCAGTAATTTACTTAGATGAGAGACAAATTAGGATAGAACATGTAGATGTTAGTCTTTTTATGCTTTTTGAGCAGTGAACATTTGCTGTTTATGCACATAGTATATTGCAAGTCAAAAATTGACTAAATTTTAGGTATAATGTAAAACAATGGGATTGTCTTTTTAAACAGTTCTGAACTGAGGTATTTAAATTATTAGCATGTGTAATATATGTTTCTCAGGACATTTTTGGAACTTTTTGGGAATTACTATCAGAATTTATAATACTTCTTTGTAAATAGTTTCCGTATTAGAACAATTTTTATTCTTTGAGGATGGGGTCTTTATGGGGGATGGTAGGTAGATGTGGGTCATGTCATTTGGAGCCACATTTGTGAATAAGGGTGATTACACTGAGTAGACTTACTTGTCTTGTGTAGCTTTTAAAATTGCTCTGAAAGCAATTTTTAAAAAGTATCCGCTTCATTGAGATATAATTCACATACAGGAAAATTCACCCCTTTAAAGTATGCAATATAAGCTTTTTTTTTCTTTTTTAGTATATTTATAGTTGTGCGGCAATCACCATACTCTAATTTCAGAACGTTTCTATCACCTTAAGGAGAACCCCCATACCTGTATTCGTCACCCCCATCTCTCCCTTGCCTCCAAGTCCCTGGCAACCCACTAAACTACTTTCTGTCTCTTGATTTGCCTATTTTGGACATTTTGTCCAGGTGGAATCATACAACATGTGATCTTTTTGTGTCTGGCTTCATTACTTAGCTTGATGTTTTAGAGTTCATCTTTGTTTTGGCATGTATCAGTGCTTAATTCCTTTTTGTGGTTGAATAATATTCCATTTTGTGGGTATACCAAGTGTTATTTATCCATTCATTACTTGATGGACATTTGAGTTGTTTCTACTTTTCAGCTGATATAAATAATGATCTTGTAAACATTTATGTAGGGACTTTTGTGTGGATTTATGTTTATGTTTTCAATTTATGTTGAACGTGTTTGAGTTACATGGTAACTAACTATATTTAACCTTTTGAAAAACTGCCAAACTGTTTTCCGAAGCGGCTGTACTATTTTAGCTCTGCCACTAATGTATGAAGGTTCTAGTTCTCTTACATCTTCACTAACATTTGTTAAAATTGTTGTTTTTTTAAAAACATTTAGTCATCTTAGCGGGTGCAAAGTTGTACCTCATTGTGGTTTTGATTTGCATTTATCTGATGATGTTGATCATCTTTTCTCATGTTTATTGTCCATTTGCACTCTTTTTTGGAGAAAAGTCTATTCAAATCTTGGGTCCACTTTTTAGTTGGGTTATTTATTTATTTTATGGTTGAGTTGCAAGAGTATTTTACATCTTCTGGAATTAGCTATATGATTTACAGATGTTTTCTCCCATTCTGTGGACTGTCTTTGACCTTTCTTGATTGAAGCACAGAAGGCTTAAATTTTGATCAAGTCCAATTTATGATTTTTTTTTGTCACTTAAATTATTGGTGTTGTATCTAAAAAAAACACTAATTCAAGATCATGAAGATTCATTCCTAAGTTTTCCTTTAAGAGTTGTATCTCAGCTGGGCTCGGTGGCTCAGCCTGTAATCCCGCGCCTTTGGGAGGCTGAGGTGAGTGGATTGCCTGAACCCGCGGGTTCGAGACCCGCCTGGGCAGTGAGACCTTATCTCCACAATAAATCAAAAATCAACCGGGCGTGGTAGCACATGCCTGTAATTCCGGCTACTTGGAAGGCTGATGCGGAAGGATCGCCGGAGCCCAGCAGGTCGAGGCTGCGGTGGCTGGGAGCGGCCACTGCACTCCAGTCTGGGCGACAGAATGAGACTCCAACTCAAAAAAAAAAAAGAGTTTTATCTCCTACATTTAGGTCTGAATATACTGAGTTTTTGTGCATTTGATGTATGATGTGTAATAGAGAGCTAACTTCATTCTTTTGCATGTGGATATTCAGTTGTCCCGGCACCATTTGTTGAAGAGACTATTCTTCTCTCATTAAATTATGTTCCACTTTCCAAGGTTGGGAGGGGAGGTGGAAGATTCCAAAAACAGTTTTATTAAAAGAGGGATACCAAAGACGTTCTTCCTTTTTTCAGTAATTCAAATGGCAGTTTCTTACATGTCAATTCAGTTACTTCATGTTCATTAATCCCTCCCCCTGCCCCCCAATATTCAAGCTTAAGTATTACAGGCTTTTAGGGGATAAAGTTGGTCACTCCTGTACTTTGACTACTGATGGTCACTTTGTTTCATGTTTTTAATGGTTTAATTGTTTAAACCATTGTTTTGAGGAACAAGAAGGGAAGTTCAATGATAACAGAAGCATTCTTTTTAATTTAAATTATTAGAACGTAATTAGTATTGCAGTATTTAAAAATGATCTTATCATTGAATCATTAGTTTTGCTTAACCTTTTTTTGTTTGAAGTATAACTTGTCATATCCTTCTTAGCCACTGAAGAAAGGGGAGAAAGAAAAGAAAAAAAGCAATTTGGAACTCTTCAAAGAAGAATTGAAGCAGTAAGTTTTATAGTGTGGAGAATAACTATCATAGGTATATTGAGCTAATACAGATGCAGGTATGAAGAAGGTAGTGTACCAATTAGTTGTAATTAACCAGCTTGCCATGAGGTTGTTTTAGATTTTATAATGATAATTTGTAGGGTATGTTTGAAAGTAAATTAACATTTAGTTCAGCATCTAAGTTGCTTGTATTATGTTGATTCTGTTCAATTGATTTATCCAATGTCCAGAGTCCTGTTTGCAGTGGAAACAGTATATTCACTAAAAGTATACTGGGTGGGAGTGGGAGCAGTTAGACTTAGCAAAAGAAAATTTGTTGGTTTTAGTGTTAAATTTCCTTCTCATCTTAAAAGCAGGCTTTGTATTCCATTGCTAGCATGATATGTCAGAAATTTGCTCATTGTTTTATTATAGCTGAGGGACTCTGATTGGTTATTAGTATTGGTATTTCATTACTCACAGATATTTCAAGTTATTTTAAAATAGTACCTTGATAAACACTGTTCTTATTAAATGTGAACAAACGAATTTTTGGCTCATTATTAGTGATTGTAAATATTTTCAACAGAATTCAAGAAGAGCGTGATGAGAGACATAAAACAAAAGGCAGGTTAAGTCGATTTGAACCTCCCCAGTCAGATTCTGATGGTCAGCGTCGTTCTAGTAAGTGGCGTTTATTTTAATGTGTATATTTGTGATTAATTACAGCAATTCCCTCTTTTATCCATGTGGGATACATTCCAAGACCCCCAGTGAATGCCTAAAACTGTGAACCGTACTGAACCCTGTATTTCCTGTGTTTTTCCCTATACTTATAGTGAAGTTTAGTTTATACATGAGGCATAGAAAGGATTAACAACGACATCTAGTTACAGAACAACTATAACAACATACTGTTTTAAAAGTTATGTGAATGTAGTCTCTCTTTCAAAATGTGTTGTTATGCTGTATCTCCGGTAACTCAAACAGTGGGAAGCAAAACCTAGGATAAGGGGGGGATTAATATATTACGGTGTTCTAAAAACTAAGAATTATTTTCTTTTCTCCCCTTTAAGTGGACGCGCCTTCAAGAAGAAATAGATCATCTGGTGGTAATACAGTTTCTTGCTTTTTTAATTAATAAGAAGTTGTCCAAAATTTTTATTTTGGGGGTTATAATTTTTTTTTTTCTTTTTGCCTTAGTTCTTGATGATTATGCACCTGGCTCACATGATGTAGGAGATCCAAGTACAACTAATTTATACCTTGGAAACATCAATCCACAGGTAACACTGATAAAGTAAGATGATTATTGACTCATATTCTTTGTGCTTTTGGAAGAAAGCTACCTTGCCAGTTTTTTAAAAATCAGGATTCTGAAATTGACAAATCTGATAGTTAGTCTTTAAAATTATTTTGTAAACTTGAGACTTGCTGGAGTGAGTGGTCCAGATTGTCTTGCTCCAGATTCTTGTCTCTTCTTTCATTAACTGGATTGTACTCTTAATTTGAAATGTCTTATTACATGCTCATTTTGTTTATCAAATCAGAATTTGACCAGTGATGATTAATATTTTTTGAGTTGGAGTCTCACTCTGTCGCCCAGACTGGAGTGCAGTGGCTGCTCCCAGCCACTGCAGCCTCAACCTGCTGGGCTCCGGCGATCCTTCCGCCTCAGCCTTCCAAGTAGCTGGAACTACAGGCGTGCGCTACCATACCCTGCTAATTTTTTTTGATTTATTGTAGAGATGAGGTCTTGCCAAGTTGCCCAGGCGGGTCTTGAACCCGCGGGCTCAGGTAATTCACTCACCTCGGCCTCCTAAAGCACGAGATTACAGGCTGAGCCACCGAGTCTGGCCAGAGACTACCCACTTCTAATGTATAGCTTGTTTCCCATGGAGTTCCTTTTTTCGTTTTCTCCTCATAATAGCAAACTAGTATTTATACTTTTGTCTTTTATGTTTTAATTATATTCCCACTGCAGTGCTGTTAATTATTTTATGGGGGATGTAGTGGTTGTTATACATAATATGCTTTTATTAGAAATTGCATTTATTTTGACCAGGCACTGTGGCTCATGCCTGTAATGCCGGAACTTTGGAGGCCAAGGCCAGGGTATTGTTTGAGGCCAGGAACTTGAGACCAGCCTGGGCAATGTAGTGAGACACCTTCTACAAAAAAATAAAAATGAAAAAAATTAGCTGGGCATGGTGGCATATACCTGTAGTTCTAACTCTAGGGCAGGAGAATAGCTTGAACCCAGGAGTTTAAGGTTACAGTGAGCTATGATCATGCCACTACACTCAAAACTGGGTGACATAGTGAGACTACCTTTAAAAATAAACATGGCACCTTATTACATATTTATCATTTTCTTTTGCTATTGATTACACTGGTAGTTGAGTGTTGGAAATAAAAGATAGTTAGATCCCTTTTTCTTTTATTGTCAACAGATATTTCCTCTCTAATTTAAATGTGCTAACTGTTGCCTGAAAAATGCTGCTAAATGCCTAAACAAAACTTTATAAAACAGCTTATTTAGATCTAACATCTTAAAACAGAAAGATGGCTGGGTTCGGTGGCTCAGCTTGTAATCCCGTGCCTTTGGGAGGCTGAGGTGAGTGGATTGCCTCAGCCCGCGGGTTTGAGACCCGCCTAGGCAACTTGGTGAGACCTCATCTCTACAATAAATCAAAAAATTAGCCGGGCCTGTTAGCGTGCGCCTGTGGTTCTAGCTACTTGGAAGGCTGAGGTGGAAGGATCGCCAGAGCCCAGCAGGTCGAGGCTGCGGTGGCCGGGAGCGGCCACTGCACTCCAGTCTGGGCGACAGAGTGAGACTCCAACTCAAAAAAACAAAACAAAACAAAAAAAACCCCCCAGAAAGATGAAAGTAAAAGTGATTTTTGTTTCTATGGCCACTCATCTTCTCCATGCTAGCATCTTATTTAAGTAAAACAATGTTTTTGATATGAAAAGATTTATACATGCCTCATGAAGGATTTTACTTGTGTAGAGTTCCTAATAGTTTGATGGAAAATTATAGCATTAATAGGTTGCTTTTCATTTTGTAAAAACTACTTTGTTTTCTGTTGTATGGAATTTCTTTTTTCCCTCTTGTTACGTACCAAAACACTCTTAACTATGCTTTTTAATAGATGAATGAAGAAATGCTGTGCCAAGAATTTGGAAGATTTGGACCATTAGCCAGTGTGAAAATTATGTGGCCTAGAACTGATGAAGAAAGAGCAAGAGAGAGAAATTGTGGCTTTGTGGCCTTTATGAATAGAAGAGATGCTGAAAGAGCTTTAAAAAATTTAAATGGTAAGAAAATTTATATTACTCATTTGTAGAGTTCAGATAGTTCTTTGGTTTTGAAAAGTATAAAAACTTCTAGGAGGCAAGCCTGGTGGATCACACCTGTAATTCTAGCACTTTGGGAGGCGGAGACGGGAGGACTACTTAAGCTCAGGAGTTCGAAGCCAGCCTAGACAGCATAGTAAGACTCCGTCTCTACAAAAATAAAAAAAATTAGCTGGGTGTGGTGGTGTGTGCTTGTACTCCTAGCTACTCAGGAAGTTGAAGTGGAAGGGTTTCCTGAGTCTAGGAGGTCCAGGCTTTAGGTGAACCATGATTGTGCTACCGCACTCCATCCCAGGTGACCGAGTAGGACCCCGACTCAAGCACAAAAAAAAAAAAAGGAAAAGAAAATTAATTCAAATCACCAGAAAGTATTCTTTTCTCCTGACAGTTACCAAAGTGACCCTTTTTTTCTTTCTTGTAGGAAAAATGATTATGTCTTTTGAAATGAAGTTAGGTTGGGGTAAAGCTGTACCTATTCCTCCACATCCAATATACATTCCACCTTCTATGATGGAACATACACTTCCCCCACCTCCATCCGGATTGCCTTTTAATGCACAGCCTAGAGAGCGGTTAAAAAACCCCAATGCTCCCATGTTACCGCCACCTAAAAACAAAGAGGACTTTGAGAAGGTAATTTAAAAAATGTACATAGGGCCGCATCTAATTTGTAAATACTAAATCTGTGGTAGTATTTCTTTTCAACAATTTTATAGTAAATGTGTGTGTAATTCTGTTTGGCAACTCTTAAAGAAATAAGTAGATGTGTTCCCTGCCTTAGCCCATGGAAACCCTGTATTGAAATCCTAGGTCATATTTTTATTTGTGGCTACCATTCCTTTTTTGACCACTCGATAAGTTTTTTTTCCTTTGTCCTGTGTTGTATGCAGGTTTGCTTAAGTGCAGTATCTAAATTTACTTTGTTCTGAGAAAGTGATTATTTGTATTTGGTTAAGTGACATTACAATTAGAGACTTCCTAAATAGTTAAATTGTTTGGATGGCAGCTAGCTAACTTAGTTCTCAAGGTCTGAGGTATTAGAATATTTAAGAGCATATGTGGTTTTTAAAGAACAGTTAATCTAGTAGAAGCAAAGGGTGAGTATTTTTATTAAACATAAACCAACTTAATTTCAAGTTTTAAGAATTTGTTGGTTCTGTTATGAATTAATGACACTTAAAATGACAGGGCTGGTTTTAAAGGCTTGGGAACAAAGTAGTGAACTGTATGGTCAGAGGCAAACAGTTTATTATTTCACAAATTAAAATCTTTATCTGATAATTCTCAGTGTAGTACCTATTTCAGTGCATTGTTGTGCATTCTGGCAGGAATGTTCTGATTCTTTGCATTTGGTGAACATTTATTGTTCACCGAACACATCCATTTGCATTTATGTAATTGTTTAGTGTATAATTACTTCAAATGCAGTGATTGCCTGCAAAACTTGTGATTAGATGTGTAGTATTTTCAATGCATATGTATATTTTTGCTTGTTACTTGTTAACAATACTCACATATTCTATGTTTATTATCTGATGTGACTTCATATACAGACTCTGTCGCAAGCCATAGTCAAAGTGGTTATCCCAACAGAAAGGTACATGTTTTTCTTTATTATTACTGATCTAAATATAGACAATATCCCCTTCTGAATTTAAAAAAAAAATGGTGTTGAGGAAAAGGTAATATCTTGACTGAGCAATGGTTCCTTCCCAGTACCTTTTGGGGGGTTATGTGAAATTTATCTAACTTTTGTATACTTTGTGATTTTATGTCATTATTTTTTTCATTTTTTTATTGTTATTAATGTAGAGAATTTTTATAGTTTGAGTAGTTAGAATGTGTTTAACAGCTCTGATTTAGAGTTCTTGGTCTAATAATGTTAGACTATTTTGATGGGATAATAGGTCCTTTAAATGTATCTTAAATTTTAGAAATGTTACAGCTTGACCCAATCTGTTGTTATTTTTTCTTGTATTCTGAATTATCTACATTTAATATATAACCTTGGTTTGAGTTTTCCTTATTGAAGGCATAGCGCTTTTTTCCAATTGATTTTAAGAAGAAATTCCTATTTTCATGAACACTGGATATACTAGAAACTTTTTTCATGATAACAAAGGTATTTGGAATTCTTTTATTTTTCTTTCTTCCTTTTTTTCTTTTTCAATGTACTGTTAAAGCAGGAGTATCATGCTCTAGGTATGCTCTTGCTCAGTCAAGCTAAGCCTTTTCCCAAACACAGGAACACAACACTGGTTGAATAATAAATGAACACAAAAGAATACCAAATTCTCTTTGACATTGGCCTTGGTGAGCAACACCAGCTGAACTGTCTGCGGCAGCGGGGGACCAGGAAAACATCATGGGATGGATTGGGAAAGTATACAGTTTTTGACCAGACATTGGTACGATCGACTCCAATAAATGTGGTTTTATTATAACTGAGAGACAATTTTTTGTTTTTTTGTTGTTGTTGCCCAGAATAAGATAATTACCATTTTAAAATAAAATAATGCACTTTAAATATATCATCTTTTTGTACTACACTGTTTTGTTTATAGAAAAGTCACCATTTTTTAAATAAGAAATTAAACACACAATCCTTAAGGAAGAAGAGTGTGATTACAATTCTTTAATAATCTTGAAGTCAAGTTAGTAACAACTAATTGTCAGATTTTGATTTTAAGTAATCATGAAATATTTAAAAATTATTTTAAGCTTTTTATTTTCTAAAAATAGATTTTATCAGTTACAAGCCTGTTTAAAACTATAGTGGGTTTTTTCTCCACTGATAAAAAGCATTCACAGGAAAGTATTTTTGTAGTATACAAAAAATATATTTATCTAGTAATAGCTTTACATGTGGCTCAGCTTATTTCTAAACAAATTTTGAGTATACATTTTGCTGAAAGTCTTGATTCACCATTAGAATGAATCCTTTGTTTTTAAACTTGCTATACCAGTTTTCATCTATCTTATACTGAAGTCAAGTGTCTTTTGACTTAATTCATACAAGTTTCTGGATATATAGCATTTGTCCACTTAGTAATTAGTCTTCTATATTATGATACATAAAATTTCCTTTAGTTTTAATCTGGCTCATACCAGTGAGAGTTTTGAAATGGAATCATAACTTTACGTTATCTCCCTCCTTTCAAAATAATGTCATTAACTATATGGATGCTGAGAATACATTCTCATTTGGATATTAAGAATTGCAGTGCAATTAATACTTCTGTGAAAGAAAATAATTTTTAGATTTAAAATTGAGTGATGTTTTTGGTTTTTGTTTTAACAATTTGAGATTGAATTAATAATTTTAAATGTATAGTTTCCCCTGTGTAAAGATTTAAACTGTCATATAATTTTTTCACCTCTTTAGGCTTAAATTAATTTTTTCACTATGTAGAGATTTTTAGTATCCACTTAAGTAGGTTTGTTTGAAAACTGTAAGGAAATAATTATAGGCAACATGAGATAGACTACTTTACTGTTCATGTATTCTGAAACAGGACATTATAGAGCCAAAAAACAGTCTGTCTTGTTCTATAACTATATATTATATTCTAGCAGTTATATGAACGTAATTTGAGCTGGGAATGCTAAAGGTGTAATTTAGTGTGTGCCTTGTACCAAGAGCCAATATCCTTTTGCTTTTCCCAATCGTTATTTGCCAACTCTATATGCTGGGGGACTAGTGAAATGAGAAATTAAAAGCAGCTTATAAATAAGCTGAGTCATTTTTGCCTGACACTGTAATATGTTTAAAACTGTGTTTGGAGTCTAATTGTATCTACATGATTTTAGGACCCAGCTTCAGATTTTAAAAATAAAGGCTTCCTATGAGTTCAATAAAATGACTAAACTAAATAGCTACTCACATGGGTATATTTTTGGCTTAAAATATTAGACAATAATTGTGGCAGAAAATGGGAAGGGCATCTCACCATGTGTCCCATTTTGCAGTATTTTGTAAAGAATAGGACTCCATTCACTTAAAGCTTTGGCAATATAATTTCTTCATTGATTGATAATATACAGGCAGAATTATCCATATCATTAATTGTGAACTAATTTGAAGTGTGATCCAAAGGGATGTTGCCTCATTAAAGGTCAGATTGAATAAAAACTCCATCTGGTATGTGTGTACCAGAAAAGCACAGGAGTTGGATGGATTTTTTATTAAGTCAGGCCTTAAACTTGTTAACTAGTTTTGCATTTTTATAAATTATAGTCATGGTCATAGCATTTCAGTACCACCACAAAAATGCTTGGTTTAGGAATATATTCTTTTAAAACTGAGATAGTGTTATGTAAGTTTTTAGATGGCTGTAATAACATACAAACTCTAAGGTACTGATTTTATATATTTGCAACTTTCCAGTTAGTTGTGATCTATGATTAATGTTTTGCTTTTGGAAAAGAAACTTAAATGGTACTTAGAAAATTAAATCTTTATTACTGTGAGGCTGTGTTGTGGTTTCCCATCCTCCCTTCACCTTCCCCTCCCCTCCCACTCCCTTTACCCCCACTGCTCCACTCCCTCTTAATGCACAAGGCATTAACATATGCTCCAGGTTACTTTTTTGGTCTTAAATCAGTATTAGTCAGCAGAATAATCTTTTCCTGCACAATGATAGTAACTTAGGTCAAGTGTAGTTTTTTATGGTGGTAGGTCTGAATCCATTTTCTTTAACTGTGTTGTTGTTGTAGGAATTTGCTCGCCCTGATACATCGAATGATAGAGTTTGTTGTACGTGAAGGGCCAATGTTTGAAGCTATGATTATGAACAGAGAAATCAACAATCCTATGTTCAGGTATGGATTTTTTTAAATTACGGTAAAATGTAGCATGAAATTTGCCATTTTAACCATCTTGAAGTATACATTTCAGTAGCATTAAGTACATCACATTGTTGTGCAGTCTTCACTGCTATCTATCTTTAAAATTTTTTCATCCTCCCAAACTGAAACTTTGTACCTATTGAATAATGACTTACCGGTCTCCTGGCCTCCCAAAGAAGAATGTTAAATCGCCATTCTTCTATTTCTTATGAATTTGAATACTCTGGGAAATTCATGTGAGTAGAGTCATACACAGTTTGTCCTTTTGTGACTGGCTTATTCCACTTAGCATAATGTCCTCAGGGTTCATCTATGTTTGTAGCATGTATCAGAGTTCCCTTTTTTAAGTCTGATGTTCCATTGTATGTATTAGCCATGTTTTGCTTATCTTCTGGTTTACATTTTAAAACTACTTTTAATTTATTTTTTAGAATGGAAAATACTCCTAAGAATAAAGTTCTGAAAGTATGGAATTAGTTTTGCAATGGGATGAGAAGGTAGTTTTAGTAATTAGAGTAAAATGTACATAGGTCAGTTTTTTTTATCAGATTTTGATTTGGTTAACTAAATAATATTATTTTTAGCATTCTTTAGGAAGAAGTACTTTTTGTTATGCTTTTCAATGAAATAATCTTTCTTAATTGTGACAAAGTTGAATAAGTTAGTTTTAAAGGAAATGGCTTATCTTCTGAATTGCTGTGGTAACTAAGACACTAATTTAACACTCTTGCTTAAGTAGTGTAAAATCACTGCTTTTGTGATTATATGTTGGGAAAATCTTTCTATTGCCAAACATGGTATCTGACATATAGGTGTTCAATGAAAAATGGTAAAACTCAGCAAGATGCATGGCTTCTGAGTACTACTGTCAGTCACAAAGGCAGTCTAGCATTGAGAGGAGGGGGTAGCAGGAAGCAGTTGGCAGATGGCAGTGGGTGAGGATTTCTCTTCAGGGATCTTTGTTTTTACTTTTATTTGGAACCAAATAGGTAAATAATGTTTCTCATTTATTTACATTTAATTGAAGATATCTCTTTGTTAAAGAATATGATTTTTTGTTTGTTTTGTTTAGGTTCTTATTTGAAAACCAGACACCAGCTCATGTTTATTATAGATGGAAGCTTTATTCTATTTTGCAGGCAAGTAGAATCAGTTATTTTGTTAATTTTGATTCTGAATTATTAGACCTTTCTAATAATAACTTTCTCAATGTTTATTAGGGTGATTCTCCAACTAAGTGGCGGACGGAAGATTTTCGAATGTTCAAAAATGGATCTTTTTGGAGGCCACCACCATTAAATCCATACCTGCATGGGATGTCAGAGGAGCAAGAAACAGAAGCTTTTGTGGAGGAGCCTAGTAAAAAGGGAGCACTTAAAGAAGAGTAAAATATTTTCTAATATATTTAGAAAAGTCACTTTAACGACTGCTTTAATGAATGGTCTCACTAAGATATTAACCCTAAAATGAAAGTTTTTTTCACTTATGAATGTTTAAAATAGTAACCTCTTTCATAATATGCTTTATCATTTTAAAGAACTTGGCAAATATAAGTTTGTGTTCCATTGACTTTGACAAAACTCTTGCTACTGATAAAATTAATGGTGATCTCTTAAATGTGGTTGACTTCTAACATCAGAATACTTCAGTTTCTTACAGAAATTATTTGGGGAACTTAAGAATTCTTGCTTCTCTGAATGCAACAGAAAGAAAAAAAATATATAGTTAGTGGAGTCGCATGTTGACTATGTGGAGCTTCTTCATGGAGTTTGCTGTGTGTGGAGAGCTGTGAGATGGCCATCTGGTTTAAGAAACAGAAACATATTTATTAAATAAAGAGGACATCCGTATACCTCGGGGAAAAATGGCTCAAAGAATTTTCAGAATATAGAATTATGTATAGGAATACCTCATTTTATTGCACTCTGGTTTATTGTGCTCTACAGATACTGCCTTTTTTTTTTTTAAAGCAAATTGAAGGTTTGTGGCAACCCTTCATCAAACAAGTCTATTGGTGCCATTTTTCCAACAGTATATGCACACTTTGTGTCTTTGTCACATTTTGGTAATTCTGTCAGTATTTCAGACTCTTTAAGAGTATTATTATATCTGTTATGGTAATCTGGGATCAGTAATCTTTTCTGTTACTGTAGAAATTGTTTTGGGGCAACACGGACCACTCTGTAAGATGGAGAACTTAATTGAAAAATGTGTGTGTTCTGACTGCTTCATACGTTGCTGTTTCTCCATCTTTCCCCTTCTCTTTGGGCTTTCCTATTCCCTGAAACACAACAGTATTGAAAATAGGACAGTTAATAATCCTGCAATGGCTCTAAGTGTTCAAGTAAAAAGAAGAGTTAAAAGCTAGAAATGGTTAAGCTTAATGAGGAAGGCATGTTGAAAGATGAGGGGGGGAGGGGGATGGGATTAACAGTCGCAGATATCTCTCTGGGGAAGGGGAAACACCTCTTCTCAACATGGTGCCTGAATGAAACGTAATTGTACACCTAACCCTTAAATGTACCCCACAAAATCATAATAAAAAATATTGATTAAAAAAAAAGAAAAATTTAACACACAAAACTAAAATAGAAAAATCAAGAGATTGCTACATTAGATCAAGCAGCAATTTTACTTTGAAAGCATAGCAAAAAATAATTTGTTTTGAAGAACTTTTACTGTTTTGTTCCTGCTGAAGAATAAAAAGTTAACATAAAAAAAAGAAAAGAAAGATGAGGTAGGATTAAGGCTAGGCTTCTTGTGTCAGCCAAGTTATGAATGTCAAGGAAATTTCTTGAAGGAAATTAAAAGTGCCACTCCTGCAAACACATGAAAAAGAGAGGCCAGGCGCGGTGGCTTACGCCTATAATCCCAGCACTTTGGGAGGCCGAGGTGAGAGGATTGCCTGAGCCCACCGGTTTGAGACCAGCCTAGACAACTTGGCAAGACCTCATTTCAAGAAATCCAAAAATTTAGCCAGGTCTGGTGGCGTGTGCTTATAGTTCCAGCTATTTGGAAGACTGAGGTGGAGGGATCACCTAAGTCTAGCAATTCAAGGCTGCAGTGGCTGTGAGTGTACCACTGTACTATAGCTTGGGCCACAGGGTGAGACTCCAACTCAAAAAAAAGGAAAAACAGCTTGTACTAATAAAAAAGATGGCCATCTCATAGCTCTCCACACACAGCTAGTAATGCTGTACTAGCAGAGTAACTGTGTCAGAGAAGGCGTGGCCTGCAAAGCCAAACTATTTACAGTCTTGTCTTTTACAGAAAAAGTTAACCTGTCCTAATCCCATGCAGAAGTGCTAAAGTAATAGACTTCTTCCAAAGAGGGGGGAGTAAAGAACATGAAGGTTTTTCTTCAGTGTAATAGGATGTTATATAAGTTCTTCCAAAAATTGAGACAAATTTGGGGAACTAACACAAGTCAGACTTAATACATTTCAGTTTTCAGAATTATTTTCTCTGAGTAGATTGTAAAGAAATTAGTGAGCAAAAGTATGAGGGCATTTGCAGTTTGTGTCTAAATACTTATAAGTTTAAAAAATTTATATTCAGACAGAGGGATAAATTAGAAGAAATCTTGCGAGGATTAACACCAAGGAAGAATGATATTGGTGATGCAATGGTTTTCTGTCTTAATAATGCTGAAGCTGCTGAAGAAATAGTGGATTGCATTACTGAGTCATTGTCCATCTTAAAGACACCTCTTCCTAAAAAGGTATGCAAGTGATTCCTGTTTATGAATGCTTACTTAAGAAAAGGGGAGCCAGGCGCGGTGGCTCAAGCCTGTAATCCCAGCACTTTGGGAGGTGGAGGTGTGATGATTGCCTGAGCTCAAGGGTTTGAGACCAGCCTGAGCAACATGGTGAGACTTTATCTCTACAATAAATCAAAAAATTAGCCAGGCGTGGTGGCACATGCCTGTGGTTCCAGCTACTTGGAAGGCTGTAGGTGGAGAGATCACTTGAGCTCAGCAGGTCGAGGCTGTGGTGGCCGTGAGCATGCCACCGCACTCCAGCCTGGATGACAGAGTGAGACTCTGACTCAAAAAAAAAAAAAGAAAAGGGTTAGTTGACATACCTTTTGGGTTGGAATTGATTTCCTTTTTGCATGAGAAACTTGACTGACAAAATCTTTCCCATGCAGTCTTACATTACTTCTCCCTGGGTAGCTTATGTTCATTGACATACAAGTTATTGACAGGTTGAAATGTAAATGTGTTAACAGATTTTATATCTCTGCTAAAGTCAGGATTTTGGTGATGTTGGGTTTCACACAATTCTTCTAATTAGTAGTGATAGTAGTTATAGCTAAACATTAACCTTATACTACTGATTCTAAGAAATGACAGTACAGAATTCTTTTCTAGGCATATTATTAGCTACTGATTTTTATTTTTAACCCATTTCGTATTATCTTTTGGTATTATAGATTGCCAGATTATATTTGGTTTCTGATGTTTTGTACAACTCTTCAGCCAAAGTTGCCAATGCTTCATATTATAGAAAATTGTAAGTATAGTGATATAAGGTGATATTCCTGAAATAAAATATTTAAGGGTAAGGAGTTAGAGAAGATGATTGCTTTGTTAACAACCCCTGTAATAAGAAATAGTCAGCCCTCCTTTTTTCTGTGTTCTGCATTCATAGATTCAGCCAATCACAGATTGGAAAATATTCAGAAAAAAAATTATGTCTGTACAGAACGTGTACAGATTTTTTTCCTTGTCATTTTCTAAATAATACAGTATAATAACTGTTTGTATAGCATTTACATTGTAGTAGGCATTATAAGTAATCTAGAGATGATTTAAAGTGTACAGGAATATGTGCATAGATTATACGCAAATACTATGCCATTTTATATGAGGCTTGAGCATCTGGATTTTGGTATCTGTGGGAGGTCCTGGAAACAGTCCTCCGTGGATACTGAGGGAAAACTGTAATTTGGATTTTTTTGTAGAATTTTTTTAAAAAATTGACTTGCATTCATTGAACTAACTCACTATAAGCTAAATTACCAATTTCTTAGATTTCACTTTATATCATATTTATTACTGTTGACAGTAGAACAAATAGGTAATGGTAAAAAATACCTTTATTTTTATTGCATATTTAGCTACCTATGAATAAACAAACAATACCTATAATGGCAAACAAAATAAGAGATCAAAGTTATAACATTAACTATAGATTCTCCTCTAATCATCATTGTATTGATTTTAGTTTATTGTTAATGTTTTCTAAAGCAATAGGAAATTATGTTGCTATACTATAATATATTGCTTTTCCTCGGTTCCCTACAGACTTTCTGTGTTTGTTTTATGAATGAGGTTCAGGGAGGCCTTTCTTTTGAAATTGACTCTGAAAGGAAATTAGACATGTGGATCCTACTCTTAGATCTACTAGTAGATTTTTCGCCTTAGACAAGTCACTTTTTTTTTAATATAAAATAAAAGAACTGGACTAGATGTTTCAGAGAATCCAAGATGTAAAATTCCTTGCTAACAAAAGGAACTAGTACTTAAAACGTTTGGGGAATTTGCAGGAGGAAAATTTAGAATAATAGGAATTAAAATAATTCAGTTAAAATTTTAGAGGCTAAATACCTTGTTCTTGATATGTAATAATTTCTTGGTTAGTTTATTTATACATAGTTTAAGTCCAGGAGGGGGTTTCATTGGCTAGCATGTGGAAGGGAATAGGGATTTTAAAACAAATTCTATTTTAAAGAATATATTATTTGAATTTCAGTTTTGAAACAAAGTTATGTCAGATATTTTCAGACCTCAATGCTACCTATCGTACAATTCAAGGCCATTTACAATCTGAAAACTTTAAGGTATGTGTATTGTTTTGCTGTTTTTGCCCTAGCGTTTTTGTCTTTTTTCTTTGCCTTAGTGTTTAAATGGGTGGAGGTGGAGAGCATTGGAAGACTAGCGAGCACAAGACAAGTATAAGACGTAAATTAAAAACTTGAATGTTTTAGAAAATACTGTTGTAAAATTCTATTGTCATCTTAATTTTTATTACCAAGAAATATCCAAAATTTTAAAATACATTAAACTAGTGTTATTTTTTCAGGTGCTTAATTTTTGTTTAAGCATTAATTATTTAAGTGTTTCAAATATTAGTCTTTTGTCCACAAAACATTCAGAAAATGACTTGTTTTGTAATGGTATATACTATTTAGCTGGATTAGGGTGCATACATTTTATTTACATTTAGAAAGTATATTGGTTATTAATTTAGTATAATGTACACTGTAGACCAATGTTAAGGGAAGGTAAATAGTACTTTTAATTTAATAAGTCTATATATGTGTATCATTTCATGGGGAGAAGACTAAGAAAAGTTTTTAGCTTGAACAGATGCTTCACCATTTGGGGATTTAGACCAGTGGTCCCCAAACTTTTTGGCATCAGGAACCAGTTTTGTGGAAGACAGTTTTTCCTTGAATTGGGGGGGTGGGGAGTGGATTATCAGGCATTAGATTCGCATAAAAAGTGTGCAGTCTAGCTCCTTTGCATGCACAGTTCACAGTAGGGCTCATGCTCCTATGAGAATCTAATGCAGCTCCTTATATGACAGCAGGCAGAGTTCTGCTCACCTCACTGCTCATTTCCTGCTGTGCAGCCCAGTTCCTAACAAGCTACAGGCTGGTACCAGTCCATGGCCCAGGAATTGGGGACCTCTGATTTAGACAATTCCATTTTTAAAGCTTTTGAACTTAAACATTGACCATCAGAATTTATAGAAGAGTTTAGGGAACGGGCAGAGAAAAGTGTTAGTCACAGTGAGGAAGTACTTTATTGGACCATAGGAATTCAAGGTGTAAAAACTTTGGATTCCACTTTTCATAAGTTTCCATGTGAGTGTTTCCCAGAATGTGGCTCATACCATGTCGCACTAATGGTATGGGAATTCGATGTTTCTTTTTTATGATTTTTGTTTCTAGGGTTTTTTTTTTTCTTTTGATTGGAAGGGAACATTGATTTAAAAAAAATATGGCAGTGGGCAGGCACAGTGGGTCAGCCTGTAATCCCAGCATTTTGGGAGACTGAGGTGAGAGAATTGCCTGAGCCCAGGGGTTCGAGACCAGCCTGAGCAACTTGGTGAGACCTCGTCTCTACAATAAATCACAAAAATTAGCCAGGCGTGGTGGCATGCGTTTGTAGTTCCAGCTACTTGGAAGGCTGAGGAGGAAGGATCGCCTAAGCCCAGCAGGTCAAGGCTGTGGTGGCCATGAGCGTTCCACTGCACTCCAGCCTGGGTGACAGAGTGAGACTTCAACTCAAAAAAATATATATATATGGCAGTGATGTGTAGTTATTTTCTTGAAAGCTTTTTTTATTTTTAATGTCAGTTTAAAGGAAAACTTAGCAGTTCATGATGGTCATTCTCATGTACTAAAGCTTGAGACACATAACCCAAAATAATTTGTTGTCTGTTTTCTATTCATTTAGCAACGGGTAATGACCTGCTTCAGAGCATGGGAAGATTGGGCAATTTATCCAGAACCATTTTTGATCAAACTGCAAAATATTTTCTTAGGACTTGTAAATATTATTGAAGAAAAGGAAACAGAGGTGGGCACTCGGTGTATTTGTCTGATTGATTTTAAAATTTGTTTTTGGAGTTGGAAGTGCTGTGGAGATGTGATATGCTACATATGTGAGGAACTTTTTTTTGTGAAAAATGTCTACTGTTTGCCAGTAGGTAGTGGATCTTTACTGGTGGAATTGTGGGAGCCCAGGAATAGAAATGATGTATAGGAGAAATTCTCTGCCTTTTGTACTTATGTGAGTGGTTTTATGATATATTAGTAGAAAAAAGCAAGTAATAGAGCAGTAAATATAGCATGATTTAATGTTGTTAAAGATAGCTATATAAATAAATATGTACATGAAAAGATGTAGCAGATACTATTAGTCACCATTCTGTTCCTTTTTTTATCTCCTAAAATACTCATGATTGAGTCTTTTATCTTTATTTCTGTTATCCTAGTCAAGCTTACATGTTTTCATTTCTTCAAGATCTTCCTAATTGACCTTACTGCTCCGATCCACATGATCCTTGTTTCAGTTTCCTAAATATATAATGTTTCTGTCTACCATTGACCTTTATACATGTTCTTTCCTCTTTCTGTAATTTCTCTTTACCTGGATTTCAGCTTAAGCATAACTTCAGAGAGTTCTTTAAGTGAAACTTACTTTATTATGTTCTAACATTGTACCTTGGGGTGTGGATATCCAGCTAAGTTGTCTTGTACTGGATTACAAATTAATCTTTTAGTAATATATAACTTTAGCAAACGAAGGAAAATAATACAGTAGTACACATTTCCATAGGATGTACCAGATGACCTCGACGGTGCCCCCATTGAGGAGGAGCTTGATGGTGCACCTCTGGAAGATGTGGATGGAATTCCTATTGATGCAACTCCCATTGATGACCTTGATGGAGTCCCTATAAAAAGTCTTGATGATGATCTTGATGGAGTGCCTTGTAAGTTTAGTTTTCAAACGGATTAAATCTAGCTAATAAATTTGATCACCAAAACTCTTTAACTTCCATATAGGCTGATATGAGAAAAGGTTATAATCTCTCATTCAGGTATCAAGTTAATAACTTTTTAGTTTCTGCTTTCTCAAAATTCAAATACCCAGTAATACATTTGACTGTGCCAAGAAAAAGCCTTTTGGTCATATTTCTTGTTGGAACAATTAGCCTCTTATAATATTAGCAGGTTTCTCTTTTTGTCTTAGTTGTCAGGAAATTTTAGACAAAATCTTATGTTCAATTATGTTCATAATCCCAGTTACCTGGTCTTATCAGTTCTGTTTTATTAGCTTTCCTAACTTACAGGTTCAGTTTCCCTAGCTTCCTAAAGTCATTTTGAAAATAGGAAGTATACACAGAACTTCAGTACATCTGAATTATATGCTTGAATATTGAACAGTATATGAATTTTGAAGTTTAGACAGTAATTAGGTAAAGATAATACCTAATTATTAAAAATAAATTAAAGATTTGTTTCACTTCTTAATTTCTTCATTTGCTTAAAATATTACTAGCCTGTATTTTCTGGGTAAGTAGAGATACAGAGAATTGGGTTAGTCATAATCTTTATTCTTAGTATTATTATTATTCATCTGTGACTTTATTTTACTTTGATTTTTTCAATAGTATAGTGCATACACGTTAATTTGAGTCATCCTTTAGTAAAGGCTAATGGCTTATCTTTCTGTAATAGTGGATGCAACTGAAGACTCAAAGAAGAATGAGCCTATATTTAAAGTTGCCCCCTCAAAATGGGAAGCTGTAGATGAATCTGAATTGGAAGCACAGGGTGAGTAAAAGTATGATAAATATTGAGCTTTAAGAAATTAAGTACTTACATATATGCACACACATAACACCGTTATGTTTTCCTTTTATAATTTTGTAACATATTTTAACCCTAGTACTCCATGTTATATTTTGTGTCTAGTGTAAGCTTTCATTGTGGTTAGTGTTGCTGTTATAATTTTCTTAAGTCCTTCAGTTTGAAAGCTTGGAGAGTAATCAGAGAAATCACTGAAAACCTTTCAGGTTAAGGCATTTTAGTAGAAAATGTAGATGGGAAGCTGTACCTGCTTGGAAATCTACTTAGAGGTCATTTCAGAGCTTTGACCCTGCTATAATGCTAGTCTTACTAGATGCAACATAGACTGCCTTTCACACTTACCTGGACTTGTATTCTAGTGCTTATAATCTTGATTGTTAATATTTGTAGGTTCTAGTTAAATAAATCTTAACATTCAAAGCAGAAATAAGGATGACAACACTATCACTTCATAAATTTGAATAAAATTGTAGTGTAGTTGTGAGGAGATTTAGCACATACCAGTGGCTAGTCAACAAATAGTTAAATGCAGATAAAAACTTTTGTAATACAAACTTTTCAGTTCTAAAGCTGGGCTTCTACTGTGCTACTACAAAAATGCTAATTTACCTTATGGAATTACATCCTCTTTTTCCTTCCATTCAGCTGTAACGACTTCTAAATGGGAGTTATTTGACCAGCATGAAGAATCAGAAGAAGAAGAAAATCAAAAGTAAGAATCTAAGTTTCGAATGTACTCAGTTTCTTGTCCATATATGCTCCCTTTTTCATTAAGAGGTATGGTTGAAAATAATAGTGAAGAGGAAAGCTTCACTCTTAAGAAAAACCTTGTGAGGATCATTTTTAGTTCTCTATTGGTTTTTCAGTGAATAAAGAGCTTTTGGTTTCTAGTCTTGATGCATCTGGTTTCACTTTGCTTTTAAGTTTATTTTTGTGCTAGGTTATACATTCTCATTTTGTAGTAGTTACAAATTGATCAACTGCATTTGTTTCAAATCTTTGCTATCAAATATTGTTTGATAGTGATTTTTAAAATGTGAGTAGGGAAGGTTATGCTTCCCATTAATATGGGAAGCTGAAGATGAATCTGAATTGGAAGCACAGAGTGAGTGTTTCTTTTTTTTAGATTACACGTTGCTAAGAAAAATACTTCATTACGACCATTGTGTTACTTAAATGTAAATACTTCAGAAGAACTAAGAATGAATAAAAGAGAAAAAAAATCTTGAGGTATAGAAAAAATTTTTATTTTTTTTTTCTGTTTGATAATTACCCCACAATTATTTTTGTATTTAACACTGTGTGGTTATAGGAATCTCTGCCTCCAAATTCTCTTGCAAGTTTATATTGACAATTTTAGTAAGTGCTTGACACTTTTAAAAATCACTGCAGAGAAAGTTGATTATTTTAAATCGGAAGAGATGGCATCAGGGACCCAAAGCAAAGGTTTCTTTTTTCTTTCTTTCTTTCTTTTTTTTTTTTTAAGTATCTGTGTTCTTTTATTGTTCTCAAATTGAAGCAGGAACAAAGGGAGTGTCCCTTTGTGATCTAACACAATATGGGCATTTGTGTGGATTCACTAAATGGACATTTGGATTATTAGGGAAATGTGATCAATCAGCAGGTTGTAGAAACACAGTTTGATATGATGATGAAAACTTGTCCATAATGATGACTTTCCAGAAATGTTGGTGTGATCAGAACAAATCAGCAGTGATTATAACAAAATATTTGCAAAATGTAGATGTTGCTTGCTATTATAAATAGCTATCTGCAGCTGTTTAGGAATACAGAAATTGGAAACAGTTTAGTTTTGTTGGCTTTTAAAACAGTAGTTTTCTTAACCCTGTTTATTTACCTGATCCCATCATTAACATCTTACCATTTTTGAATCACTACTTTAAAATGAGTGTATGTACTCATAAAAATAGTTCTTTAATGTAGGAGGAAGGAAGGATAGAAAAACTGTTGAAGGACTCAAAAAATGTAATTCTGTTGATTTTATTTCTAAAGATATTAGAGTTGTTTTGGGGCATAAGACTGTTAGAGGTATGACTGCATTTTAGCATTGATATTGGAATAATAATATTTTGATAGAAGCATGGATCATGAAGTATAACTTACATTTGATTTTTCCAGGAATTCCAAACAAATCATGGTAATGTAAAAATAACTGAAAGTACAAAGCAAAGGAGAAAAAAACTTCCACAGACACCTCTCTGATCCTTGGCGTTTCCTATGTCTCACTGCTACTCTCTAGTGGCTGAAATCAAAATGCCCTTTTACTCAGGGCTGATTTTTGTGACTAGTAATTATTGAATTTGTGGCAGAAATATAACTTTTAAAAATACAGTACTACTAATGCTTTGGACAAAAGTTACAAAAAATAATTTCATTTGTAATGCATTCTGTATGAAGTTAGAGTTCTGCATTTCCACTTCTTTTTTAAAAAAGAACAAGAGGAAACTGTGATGAGATTTGAACCTAGAACTTGTGACTAAGAGCTAAGGCCAAAACCAATAAAAACAAAATGCTCAAGTCTTGAAAAATTATAACAGCATTTATAAGACGTTTATATATTTTAAATAATCAAAGTAGTATATAGCTCATTTAAAAAGCCTTAAATATGGTTAATGTCTAATATCCAGCCATCTAAATCCTTTCTATGTATATATACACATGCTATTTGAACATAATATATGCTATTTGAACATAAACATAAATCTGTATGTTTATGAAAATATTGAACATCAAATAGCTATTTGAACATAAATGATATTAGATATTGTACATACTATTCTGAGACCCATGTTTTTTACTCAAGTGTCATGGATATTATTCCATGTCTATATATTTACCTGGTTTATATTCATCTATGGTTAAAGAAAGTATTCACATACACATACAAGAGTGTTTACTAAGGAATATTTGAAATTGCAAAAACTAAATTGGAAGAAAATTTTAAAAAACAGGCCAGCGGGTTCGAGACCCGCCTGGGCAGCGAGACTTCATCTCTACAATAAATAAAAAAATCAGCCGGGCGTGGTAGCGCACGCCTGTAATTCCGGCTACTCAGAAGACTGAGGTGGAAGGATCGCCGGAGCCCAGCAGTCGAGGCTGCGGTGGCCAGGAGCGGCCACTGCACTCCAGTCTGGGAGACTGAGTGAGACTCCAACTCAAAACAAACAAACAAACAAAAAAACCAGGCCAGAATTGATTAAGTCGTTTGCATTATATAGTTACCACAATTTATCCAAGTCACATCCTTATTGATTGAATAATTCTCCAGTAAGCATCCCTGTTTACATACACATGTTCACCTCAGCCATTTAAAAATATGTGAAATACTTGTAAAATTTTATGCATCATAAAACAGGAAATTCTTGTGTTTTAAAAAATTAAACTACATTTAGGAAGTTTCTGACAAATTAATCAGAAATGTTAAGAAAAATTTGATTATTTTTGAAAAGAATATATATATTTTTAACAGTTGGTTTTGACTTTTCTCTGCCTTAAGTATGTATTATGTTAAGTTGTACCTATATACGATATAAATGATTTGTGGGGCTCTGAGTATGGAGTTTGTAAACTCTTAGCAGTGTTCTAGAAAGGAGCTTTGGATGAGAAATTCAAAAACTTGTAGCCAAGTCTTTTCAGTATTGTATCATTTCTGGTTCTGAATTGCCAGCCCTTATTTTTGTATTCCTGGCTTAAGTTTTTCTCTTTCAGTGTGTGCAGCTTATTACATAAGGCTTTAATTAAACTTCGTTTAGAAAGAATTTGATTGTAGCCGGGCTCGGTGGCTCAGCCTATAATCCCAGCACTTTGGGAGGCTGAGGTGAGTGGATTGCCTGAGCCCGCGGGTTCGAGACCCGCCTGGGCAGGCAAGACCTCATCTCTACAATAAATCAAAAAATTAGCCAGACGTGGTAGCGCGCGCCTGTAATTACGGCTATTCGGAAGGCTGAGGTGGAAGGATCGCCGGAGCCCAGCAGGTCGAGGCTGTGGTAGCCGGGAGCTGCCACTGCACTCCAGTCTGGAGGACTCCAACGCAAAAAAAAAAAAAAAAAAAAGAATTTGATTGTACATTATTACAAATAATTTTAAATGTATACTAAAAGGAATCTTTCTGCTTACTGTAGAATGTACTTAGCTATCAAATACCAACATAAAAGGACTTACCAGGTTCAAATGTTAAAGGCAAAATGTCATTTCTCTGGTTTATACCAGTAATGTTGTTATCACAATCGGTATTGTTTATAAAGATTTTTTCTTTGTATATACATAAACATTTTGTGTTTGTTTGTGCCTGGATGTCTTGTTTCGCTCGAATTTATTTGCCAATAATATACACTCACGAAACACCCAGTCTCAGAATGTAAAATTTTTATTTTTAAGCCATTCATCCTTCATGCTTCAAGAACATTTTAATTCTGTTCTAGCACTGATTACCAGCTTTACACATAGTTACCTGTCTGTTGCCACTAGATAGTTTCTAGGACAGAATAATTTTTCATCTTCATATCCTAGGTGATTTATCCATGAGATCTCTCAGGTTTTAATCTTCTTGTCTGACCCAGAACCAGTACAACTTTTAGAATCAACTATAATATGAGTACTAGTGCTTGCCAGCATTTAAAATTTATACATTGCTTTATTATTAGGGTTATGTGCTAATCAAATGAGGTCTTTACCTACTGTTTTGATTTATAGTAACTCTGTGTCTCAAGCTCATGTATTTTCTTGTTTATGTGCTCTGCTGAAGGGAGGTTACACATTTGACTTGTTAAATAACGTTTCATGAAATCACTCTGAACTGTGAAGTATACAGAAATCATTGATTATTCATTTCATTTAACTACTCCAAGGAAAGTTTGTTTCAGAATGAAAGGCACATAGATATCGTTAACATAAACAAAATTGATTAAAGTATGATTATGTTGAAGCTCAGACTTTTTCTGTGGAGGAAGCAAGTGCTTCACAAAAATGTATATAAAACATTACTTGATCAGATATTTTGCAAAAAATGTCTTAGGGATGAATTGTCCTCTGCTGTTTTGCTGACATCATTTAAGCTCTGCAATAATGAAAATTAAAATATCCAGGCTATAAAATATAAAACTTGTTTTGCTGCCTTGACATATAATGTGTTCTGCTTATTTCTAAAGTCAAGAAGAAGAAAGTGAAGATGAAGAAGATACTCAAAGTTCTAAATCTGAAGAACATCACCTGTATTCTAATCCAATCAAAGAAGAAATGACCGAGTCCAAGTTCTCTAAATACTCTGAAATGAGTGAGGAAAAGCGCGCTAAACTTCGTGAAATTGAGGTTAGTATTGCAGTAAAGCTTAAACTACGCTTACCTGACCTTTTGCTTTTCCACCAAGCTCAGCTCCCTCTTGGCATCATACCTTGGTGTACCTATTGTTCCCTCTACCTGCCTAGAATTCTTTCTACCAGGTGACTTTTCTTCAGGCCTTTTCGTTCAAGCATCCCTTCTCCCATGGAAACCTTTTCTTACCCTTTTGGACTTGCTTGCTTCTATTTCTTTTTGTGTGATTTTTACATGTATTGGGTGTGTGTGTATGTATGTTTTGTTTGTTTGCTTATTTGCCTACTTGTTGTTTAGTGTCTCTTCTCCAATAGACTTTAGTTTCTAAAAGGGGAAAAGATCATGTGTGTTTTCTCTTCATTATTATGTCTCTTGGCACATGGGAGATCCTCTGAAGAAATTGATTATATGTATATAGGAATATATATATATATTCCTATATATATACACACACACACACACATATATACGTAATACATGATATTATATATGTAATGTAGGAAATCCATTGCATTTTGTATATACATAGTATGTAACTAGGAAAAAGCAAGTTATTTTCTGGCATGTTCAAGTTATGTTTACATTTTATCACAGGCTCATTTTCAATGCCTGTACCTTTAATGATGGGGAAAGAGTAGCCTTTTAGTGGATCTTAACATTAAAGCGGAGAAATGCATGGAAGAGCCCAAGCTATCTCAGGCAGACTTTTCTCTGCCTTTTTCTATCCCCTCTCCTTTTTATTTATTTATTTATTTTGAGTTGACCCAGACTGGAGTGCAGTGGTACGGCTCCCGGCCACCATAGCCTCGACCTGCTGGGCTCCAGCGATCCTTCCGCTTCAGCCTTCCAAGTAGCTGGAACTACAGGCACGCGCTACCACACCCAGCTAATTTTTGATTTATTGTAGAGATGAGGTCTCGCCAAGTTGCCTGGGTGGGTCTCGAACCTGTGGGCTCAAGCAGTCCACTTGCCTCAGCCTCCCAAAGTGCTGGGATTACAGGCTGAGCCACCGAGCCCAGCCCCCTCTCTTTTTTAAATGCTATTTGTTTTAATCAAAGGCTATTCTGACTTGTCAGAGAGAGAAAAGTTTTTGTAATGATTCAAGGAAATGAACCATTCCCAGTAAATGCTAGCAGGGGTGTCATAGTCAGTCTAAAACCTTTAATGAACACATGAAAGTGAATTTTAAGACTCTGCCCATTCATTTAACAGTATTTTTGAATGCCTACTCTGTGTCTGTACTACTTCTCTTACTAACGTTTGATACTTGTCACATTAGTTACCTCATTTCCACTTAGTCACTGTTGGGCTGGTACAAATTCTCATCCACCTCTTTCTCAGATATCACCCCACTGAAAAGTGAACAGAAAACATTTTGTTTTAGCCCTATACAGAGTCAGCATGGTGTCAGTTATAAGTGGAAATGAGGGGTTTTTTTTCATAATTAGTAAGTTGATTCGTTTTTCCTAGGCTGTATTTATCCACATTTTTAATATGATTTCTTGGGGAATAAGGTCTGTGTCAGTGAACACACTCACCTATGGACCTTTTCAACCCACACATGCCCCTTTTCTACTCCTCCCACTTAATTGAGAAGCTCTACTGTACTGACCTGATGAAACTGTTGGGAGTAGAAACAAAGACTGAGTTTGATAAAAAGATTATTTTCTTGATAATTGGAGCTACCCCCTTATAAATGTCAAATTAGACCATCAAATCCTTTTAAGATGTTCTGTTTCATTATTAACTTGAAGAGACCATATAATTTGGCTTTTTGTTAAGCTGGGAGGTTTTTATGAATATTTTTCTTTCCACACTGCATATGTATACATGTAATAAACATGCTTGCATGTGCTTGTGTACACACACACCTTGCATGCATACATTTCCATACTTCATGTGCTCTTACATGATCTGGCCTCTCCCTTCATTGTTAGATATTCAGTGATTGATTCTCCTACTTTTATAGTGATTTCCTCTCACAACTTGTCTTCTGGGATTTAGACTATGAACCAAATTCTAATTTTAAAATGTAGTTCGTGCATCATCTTATAATTATCTAATCCTTCTCCCCACCCTATTTACTCTGAGAGATTTAATCATGTGGAATGAAGTTCCACAACTGTTGGCAAATTTGGACTAGAACTTAGGACTCGTGAACTTCATCCCAGTGCTTTTCCTATCTTCTCCGCCTCGAATTTTTTTTGCTTTTTAAAAGCTAGTCCCTTTCCCAAATGTGTCCTAATAAAGATGCCTATAACTGAAGCTTTCTTAGTATGAGATTAGTGAAAACCAAATGATTTATGTTATAAAATATTAATATTCTCTGTAAAAACATAGTCATATGACATTGTAGTGCTGACCAAAAACTAGTTCTTAATCTTTTAGGTACTATTTAGAGCAGTGCTTGGGCAGAAGTTACCTTTTCCTATTCCACTGTTTTCCCTATTTCTATCAACAAGGGTTGAAAGAGTGGAACAGTGGATGGGGAGTCAAGGGGAAGATCTTCTGTGTTGGAGAAGAAAGATCTCTTTCTACCCTGGACCCTATGGAAAGAGTAAAAATTGAGTGGGAAAGTGATACCTGATCATTGTCCCAAGGCAGTAAGCAATTGCCTTTTGTGTTGGGACCCTTGGTCATCTGTTTTTTGGGTGCCTTGGACTTGTGTTTGAGCCTGTGTTAGACCATATCAGCAGGAACTCTAAGTAAGGATTTTATAATGATTTTTAAAATGATTCTCGGCCGGGCGCAGTGGCTCACACCTATAATCCCAGCACTGTGGGAGGCTGAGGTGAGAGGATTGCCTGAGTCCATGAGGTTCAGACCAGCCTAGACATCTTGGCAAGACCTCATTTCTGCATTAAATCAAAAAAGTAGCCGGGTGTGGTGGTACATGCCTGTAGTTCCAGGTACGTGGAAGGCTGAGGTGGAAGGATCTCCTGAGCCCAGCAAGTCGAGGCTGTGGTGGCCATGAGCATCGTGCCACTGACTCCAGCCTGGGCGACAGAGTGAGACTCCTATTCAAAACAAACAAACAAACAAAAAATGCTTCTCTAGGAATACCATCTTTTTCCCTATGTAGCATTCAGGTCTGTTGTTTGACTCTTAAACTGATACACAACAAATACGTTCTGTAGAATAGTCACTTTGGTCACGACAGGATGCTTTACACAGTGGTGAACTTGGCCATTTATGTTGGTTCCCCCATTTCCTTTCTCAGCCTTACATCTTATTATCCTGTTAAATGTGGTCATCATTAAAACAAGAAAATAATGGCAGACTTTTATTAAAAAACTTTGAAAAAGAAGAGAACTTCAAGGCTCTGATTATAAAAGACCCTGATTATAGAAGTGAAATTTGATAGGGAAAGAGCAAAAATCAGGGGACTTAAAAGAAATGTTTGTGAAGCCAAAAATAGTGAAAATATCACTTTGAATGGGAAAAAATGTTTTTGTATGAATATTTTCATTCTGTTGGAAAGACTCATTTGCAGTCAAGAGGGTAAAAAAGCTTAAACAAATGAGGTCTTGTTTTTGAAATATAAGTAAGTGCTGTAGTAGCATATAGTTCCCTTGAAGGACACATCTGTGTCTGAATAAAATAGTATGTTAGCATGTACAATCAGTTCATTAGACAATGTTTTCCCCCATCTTTGAGTGGAACAAGATTGGGCAGATTGGCAACTCAGTGGTACCATCTAGAATCCATGTGCTTTCCATCTCAACATCCTCCAGCTCCTCATGCTTTTCACTTATTTGTCCTCCCTTAGTTAAAAAAGCAAGTATTCTCAGCTTTGCAAGTTTCTTGGATAATTTAAACTCTTTAAGTCTTCAAGTAGTTTTTATTGTAACCACTTTGTGAAGTCTTTAAGTTCAAAACAAATTTCGAGTTTATTCTTTTTACTATTTTTTATATAGTAAAAATCTTTTTTTTTTTTTTTTGAGTTGGAGTCTCACTCTGTCGCCCAGACTGGAGTGCAGTGGCATGCTTCTGGCCACCGCAGCCTCGACCTGCTGGGCTTTGGCAATCCTTCTGCCTCAGCCTTCCAAGTAACTGGAACTACAGGCGCGTGCTACCACGCCCGGCTAATTTTTTTGATTTATTGTAGAGATGAGGTCTTGCCAAGTTGCCCAGGTGACCCATGGGCTCAGGCAATCCACTCACCTCAGCCTCCCAAAGCGTGGGATTACAGGCTGAGCCACCGAACCCGGCTGTAAAAATCTTTTTAATACTTTAATTTTCAGAATGAAAAGTACAATGTACTCACTTATTCCAGTTTTTTTCTCTCCCTGTAACTGATTTTTACCATTTTTTTGTATATGCTTTTAGATCTTTATCCATTGCAAACACACTTACACAGACACACACACACAGACACAGACACACACACACAGACACACACACACACACACACGTTTGTGTGTGTCTGTTTACTAGAAATCTCTTGTTAAACATATAGGTGTATAGGTGGTCTACTTTTACATATAATACTGCAGTTAATAACTTTTACAAATAGCTTCGTGCAGTTATATGGGCATCCTAAAGGATAAATTGTAAGAAATGGAATTGGAATTTTTTCTAATTTTCTTTATTTTAATGAGCATTTATTCTTACTGTCTTAAAAAGTATATCTCTAATATGATTTAATCTTTTGTCTGTGTTTTGATGTACAGTGATTGTGCTGTAAATAGAGGGAGACCTTCAGACTGTGCAGCTCTGTGTTTGGTACTATACAAGCTGGACCAGAATGTCACTGCCTTTTTAAAAAGCTGTTTATGTTCTGCTGGCTTTCATATCTTGCTGGCAGTATGCTTGCCTTTAGCAACCTTGCCTTTTTAATTTGGGGGAACCAGATAACCAAATTCATTGTAATTGTGTTTAGAAAAAATAAATAGGTTCTTATGGCCAAGAAGTACAGTTTATAGTTTTTGAGTCCTCATGACTATGCAGAGAACATAGGCTTACATCTGTTCCATTGAATTTTGCATAGTTGGGTTTCTCTGATATGTGGCCTTCATATGAGGTTATGTTTTGCTTGAATACTCACCAGTTGCCAATTTACTAAAGAAAAGAAAGAAAGCAGTGTTTGGGAAGGTATAGTGATGAAAAATACTTATTAATAATTTTCTTATTTCACAGCTCAAAGTTATGAAGTTTCAGGATGAATTGGAATCTGGAAAAAGACCCAAAAAACCAGGCCAGAGTTTTCAGGAGCAAGTGGAACACTACAGAGATAAACTTCTTCAACGAGTAAGGAATAAGTATACTCAATAGTATACATTTTTCAAAGTTATTTATTTGACTTCCTAGAATATTGGCATACTTAAAGTCAAATTATATCCTATGATGTGTAAATGCTGAATACTGGTAGACTATTAGAAACGTTTGAAGTTTTAAAAGTATTTCACTTGAAAAAAGGAGTTTTAAGGCAACAGCACGCTGTTTTAAGCTGTACGCTACTTCTGTAGACTAGAAGATCAACCTTGCTAAGAGCATGCTTTTAAAAGCGGAAGACCCTTCGAGAAGAGTCACGTTTGTGACAGTGAGACATCAGCAACCCTGAGAAGAGGCACAGAAACAAAGATGGAAGCAGAATTTGGAAAGTTCTGCTGTTGAGAATTTCAGTGAGCTCCTATTTCCTGTTGATCCAAGGAGGGACAGTGAGTGGTAGAATAGCTCATTGGTGAATTCTAAACAGATACTTTGTATTCTGGTAAACAAAATATCAAGGAATATGCAGAGAATTTTGGAACCAAGAACATCACATGATAATTGTTGAAGGAACACTAATTTTGTTGAGACTGCTATATATTTTTTAAAATTTAGATTTAAGACTTTTATTTTTTCACACCCAAATAAACCTGAGTAGTTGACTCTCATTACTCCCCTATTCACCCCCAAACCCTCTACCCTTCAGATTGAGAAGAAACATTTGTTTTCACTTTGTAGCTTTGAGAATGCCTAAAGCTTTGTCAGTTGGCTTGTAGTGGGTCAGTGTGTGGCCTGAAGGGTCAGTAGCACTGATCTACTTGGGCAGCCGGTAAAGGCCAAGCCAGTCAGCCCAGTCTAGGTAGTGGTATTCAAAGATTTAATGGTAATGACAGGCTTCCTCGGTTTTAGGAGTATTGAAGGGAAATTTCTGGGCTGAATCTGCCTTTATTACATCATTAACCTGATGTTAAACATATTCCTGTAAAATCTTAAGGAGTTTTTACTGTTGTTATTGCATCACTAAAGGTTTCTTTTTGTCTCCAGAGAATCTCTCTAGGTGTCAGATTATAGTCCTCAAATGTTTCTCTCAGATGTTTTTCTGTCCCATTCTTTGGAATTCTCATTTCTGGGCCAGAGGCAAGTAATACGAAGAAAATCTATGATCCAGAAATGGGACTTTCAGTTCAAGTCCATGGGCAGCAGTAGTTTCATCTTCTTGGAGACCATCAAACGGAGTTCCTTTAGCCAGCCTCTCATGCTCCCCCTTGGCTTTTTCAGAGGAAGCCTTGTGAAAAATACATATTACCCTGGGCAAGTTCATCTGATCTCTTTCCAGAGAAGATCACCCTAACCCTAATTTTATCTGTTCTTCCAAATATACTTGGAAATTAAATACATATCTACGAAGCACAAAATGTAAGTTTCCAGGGAAAACGTAGCTTCATCTAGAACCCGAATACCTTCTTTAGAGTTAAAGAGGACTTCGTGATGTCCACTTCCAATAGGATTTGTTACCTTTCTAGACACCTATAAATCAAGGTTGTCTTCCACACTAATTGAAAATGTCTGGAGAGTGTACTGTACTTGAGCCTTTTTTTGCTGCTTCAACAGAGTGGCAGCAAGCAAGCTGGAGTCCAAGCCTCCTGATGAAAGGCAGCCAATCTTTCTGTTATCAGACACTTCTTCATAGCATTGTTAAAAAGGATCCAGAGGTTGCTCTTCACAGTTTCTGTCTCAAAACCTGAGAAGAGTTTCTCCAAGTTGTCGTAGAGGAGATATAGTGATTCATCCTGATTCATCCCTATAGTATTGATATTTATCCATTTCCATGGATGCAACTTTGCCATTTGGCCTTAAGTCTAAAACTTCATGATGTTTGGGGAAGACTCCACTCTTAGAAAGGGAGTCATGGACCAGGTGCAGTGACAGCCTATAATCCCAGCACTTTGGGAGGCTGAGGCGAGAGTATTGCCTGAGCCTGGGGAACTTGGTGAGACCTCGTTTCTACAATAAATCACAAAAGCTAGCCAGACATGATGGCATGTGTCTGTAGTTCCAGCTACTTGGAAAGCTGAGGTGGAAGGATCGCTTGAGCCCAGCAGGTCTAGGCTGTGGTGGCTGTGAGCATGCCACTGCACTCCAACCTGGGCGGCAGTGAGACTCCAACTCAAAAAAAAAAAAAAAAAAAAGGTATTCATGGAGTGCTCCAGTATAACAAGACTGTGAACTTCTAAACACACAGCCAAAAATCTATCTTCTGTCATGACTTTAAACAAAGGTATAACTCTATATGTCTTTCTGCCCAGTAGTAATACTTTGTTATTGACAATATCCAGTAAAATAAACACAGATACACTATCCAGCATATAAATAGTCATGAAGATGAAGAATTTTGTCATAAAGATGAAGGATTATTTCACCATTATCCCCTTTGGTTTTATATTCAAATTCAGAATGATGTTGGATCTTCTTGTAGTTGTAGATTTTACCATTGTAACAGAGCCACAAATAAGGACATTTATTCACTTGAATTGGCTGTTTTCCAAACAGCTGGTCAGCCACTGCCAGCCGGTAAAATCCAAAGCAACAGTTTGTGTATCCATTGACATTCTCAAAGTGAAATGCATCTGGACACCTGTGTGCAATTTTCATAGTGCTCAGACACTGAACAGAAAGGCAGTCATCACTGTCAGAGAGCGCCCAAATGCCACACGTGCAGTGGAGCTGTGGGCTCTCGGCTCAAGCTGGTCAGGTTGGTGGGGGCTGTGGAAGCCAGGGTTAGAGACTGCGACCGACTCATGTTAATTTTAACCCATATCTTGACTGTCATTGTGGGGCAAAAAGCGTAATTAGATTATATAAAAAGAAATAGGGAAAGGCTGTAGAAGGGAGCGTACAGACTGTCAATGTGATGGGGAGAAGTCTGGTAAAGCAACTCTGGTGCTGCACAGACCTATGGAATTCCAGCACCACTCTCTGCTGTACATGCATCGGCAAGTCACCACAACTTGCTTTTCTGTGAAACGGGTTGATACTCCCAATTGTATAAGATTGTGAGTTAGATAACTACTGTTACTACTATTACTTTTTATTATCACATTAGAATGTTTAAGATATTTTATGTGTATTTTAGCTGTAGTAAGGATCGTACAAAATAGGCATTTCAATCAGTAAATTATTTTCATTATCAATCAGGAAAATGCATTCTTCAGATCATCAGAGGAAGTCAGTCTCCTCAGCACTACTATTAAAATTTGCACCCTACGCTATATTTGGAAAAAAGATAAAGAGTTTTTAAAAAGGTGTTACTTATCTATACCCTGGATATGGTGGCAGGCTATTGATCTGCATGGGAAATTACACTTTGAGGTTTTCACTGGTCCTGATGGTAGCAAGCTCAAAATGAATAATACATGTATTACCACATTAGTTTCCTTGCATGCTATGATAATTGGAGAGAAGGATATGTTTCTTGAAGGCACATGCCAGGGGCATGTACCAGAGTTGAGTAGTTGTGACAGACTGTACGTCACTCACAAATAAGAAAATATTTACTGTCTGTCTCTATACAAAATATGTTTGTCAATGTCTGGTACAGGCACTTTTCACCTTTTAAAAATTAGAGTAGGTTGGGCGTGGTGGCTCAAACCTATAATCCCAGCACTTTGGGACCGAGGTAAGAGGATTGCCTGAGCCCACGGGTTTGAGACGAGCTTGGGCAACATGATGAGACCTCATCTCTACAATAAATCAAAAAATTAGCCAGGTGTGGTGGCACATGCCTGTAGTTCCAGCTACTCGGAAGGCTGAGGTGGATGGATTGTCTGAGCCTAGCAGCAGGTTGAGGCTGCGATGGCCATGAGCATGCCAGTATACTCCAGCCTGGGTAACAGAGTGAGACTCTCACTCAAAAATAAAAAAATTTTAAAAATAGAGTAGAGTAGTCAGCTATCAGACGACTTTCTTGATGCATACAAACATGGAAAAATTAAATTCCTCTTGGTAAGACCTAAATTGGTTTTGTGGATTCTTTGTCTTTAATTATACTGTTAATATTACCAACAGAAATCAGAATTTCAAGTGAGAGGAAGTGGTTGTAGCATCTGGGGTTATGTAAATAAGTTATTTTTCTGGTTTATATAATTGTATGGTTATGTAGTCAGTTTGTATTTTTCATAAATTGAGATTTTAAATTTCTGGTACAATTGGTACTTGTTACTAATAAAATTTTGATGGAAGATTATTATGAATAGCCTAGCCATTTCTCTTTCCAACCTCTTCCTTTGGCAAAAGCTCCTTTTGGTTAAATCAACTTGCCATATAGTTGGAAAAGTCACTCTACTATTTTATTGTAATCTGTGATGGAAAGGTCAGTGCATTGTTAGGTTTTTCTGGCTTTGACGGGTGGGTGAGTGGGGGAAGAGTGCTGACTCCAGAACTGAGGCTCAAATTCTTCTTCACAACCCTATGTGACCATGGACATAGTACTTTATCTTTCTGGGATTCAGTTTACATCTCTAGAATGAAGATAATAGAACTTTTTCTAGGGCTGTTTTGAAGAATTGCATGAAATGGTCTATGGAAAGTTGTTTAGTACATTGGTTTATAGTAAGCATTTAGTAAATGTTTAAGCTACTGTTGCTAGTATTATTCAGTATAAAGTAGAAAATATAACTAGTTTTCCTGGAATGGTTATTTTTTTTTTTTCAAAAATGGTATTGTACCTTAAATACTAATTTTTAAAAATTATCTTCCAGAAGAGAAAATATCATCATATAATGAGATTAACACAGACTGGTATTTTTAAACAGTTAAATATTTTCTTTAAAAAAATAACAGGAGAAAGAAAAAGAATTAGAAAGAGAACGAGAAAGAGACAAGAAGGATAAAGAAAAATTGGAATCTCGATCCAAAGACAAGAAGGAAAAAGATGAGTGTACTCCAACAAGGAAAGAAAGGTATAACATTTCTCAAATTTAATGCTTACAGTGGTTTGAAGATTTGGAATGGAGTTTTATTTCATAATATTTTCATCACTGATGGCAGCAAACTAGAAATGCTTTTTCATTAAATGTGTTTGGCTCCTGCCTGCAGGAGGCAGAATTAGCTGAGAAATGGGGCATTTAGTTGGCACTTGGCTTAGTTAACTAGGGCATCGTCCCTTTACAAGGTTTATATGGTATCCTTAGCCTTAGTTCAGTGCAAGCATTCAGTTACAGTATTAGGTATCAAACCTGAGGCTTAAATAACAAAACAGCTTGCTAGATCTTCCTTGTTGTTGTCCATATAAGCATTTTTTCCAGTCTCTGTGTACTGAGGCTGCTCCCTTAAATTTGATTCTTAGTCTTACCTTGAAAGGAAATTGTATGTATAGGCCATAGGGGCTTGCTCCTTACTTTATGTCTTCATTCTAATCAAAAGCATTTCTCGTTCAGTTTTTATTTCTTACTCTCACAGTTCCTAAATCTCTGATTTAGTAAAGAAAATTGCTTCAGTTAACAGAACTAGAACTTCCTAGTTAAAAAAACAAGCAATTGCAAATTTAAAAATTCTGGTTTAGTCACTCTACAGAAGGTTATCCCAGTTGGTTAGATAAAAAGTCTGTCACTTTATTGTCTTTTATTATTATTATTCTGATATTATTTTAGATTTACCAGGAAGTTGCAAGAATAGTATAAAAAATTTCTGGATACCTCACAATAACCAAATACTTTTGCTTTTTTCTTCCTTTTCTATCTGTCTACAGCCATTTAAGAATACTTTGCCAACATGATGCCCCATTCTCTTAACCACATTCACTTAACCACGATAAAAGTATCAGCTCCAAGAAATGAACATTAAAAAAAAAACCACACACCATATTTAATCCAGAAACCTTACTTAAATTTTACCTATTATTCCAGTAATCTCCTATAGCAAAAGAAAATCAAATTTAGTTGAATTCAGTTGTTGTCTCTCGATCAACCTATCTTTAAGACTTGTTTGTTCTTGATATAAAGGACTTTGAATATTGTTAAAAATAACATTAATATGGCTAGTGAAAATAAGGTCAGAGTAAACTGGTAGGAATTGATAGCTCATTTAGTAGAGGAAGACGAATACCGGATCCTTTGCTCACTTATGGACTGTTTTGGGGGCTTTGTTTCATAGGAAAAGGCGACACAGTACATCCCCCAGCCCATCTCGCAGTAGCAGTGGTAGACGAGTGAAATCCCCATCACCAAAATCGGAGCGATCAGAGCGTTCAGAAAGATCTCATAAAGAGAGCTCACGGTCCAGGTCATCTCACAAAGATTCTCCTAGAGATGTTAGCAAAAAAGCCAAAAGGTAAATGCAAGTCATTTTTGGTGATACTTCAAATACCAGTTTCCTTGTCATTTCACCAGCTTTTGGAAATAATTTGGTTGGCATACATTTTTTTAAAGGATTTTAGAAAACCAAAGAAACACACTTTCATTTTAGGTTATACCTCCCCACCTCAGTCTTTTTCTTGACTAAAGTACAAGAAGGCTTCTAACAAGCAAAAACCAACCAAGAATTTTAAACATCATATCTAGTGTTTCCTGTGGAATGGGGGTAACTGCTTTTCTTTTCATTCTGTTCTTTAGTTTCTATAGAGCAGTCTTTGATTTTTGTCAAAGCTGAAAGAAAATCACATTTTCCCCCATAGCAATATTACTAACAAGTTCTTGGGTAGAGATTTGTGGAACTACATACCCTAAATACCATTTCTTCAGTATATAATTTAGTATTTTATATACTTTTTTTCTTTAAGTTCCAGAAAAGTGGTTCAGAAATGTTCTGGTAATCTGGGATCATATAGAGGAATTTTTCTGAGAGTTAAAACTGCTTTATATGCTAATGCTTTATTGTTGTAGCTATTTTTAGTAAAATTTTTATAACTTTTCTCCTTTTCTAAGTGGCACTAGGATGCCACTTATTCTAAGTGGCACTAGGATGCCACTTATTCTAAGTGGCACTAGGACGCCACTTAGAATATATGTATGAGTATATTAGTATATATGTACATATAATGTGTATGTATATTTATTTGTTTTGGTAATCTTCATGAACAGCACTTTAAAGATTATGCTGTCGCCGGGCTCGGTGGCTCAGCCTGTAATCCCGCACCTTGGGAGGCTGAGGTGAGTGGATCGCCTGAGCTCGCGGGTTCGTGACCTGCCTGGGCAACTTGGCGAGACCCCATCTCTACAATAAATCAAAAAATTAACCGGGCGTGGTAGCGCACACCTGTAGTTCCAGCTACTTGGAAGGCTGAGGCGGAAGAATCGCCGGAGCCCAGCAGGTCGAGGCTATGCGGCCACTACACTCCAGTCTGTGTGACAGAGTGAGACTCCAACTCAAAAAAAAAAAAGATTATGCTGTCTTAAATGATGCCCTTGAATGATACTGCTGGACTGCGAAGCTGTGTGTTTTTAAAATTTTGTGAATATCTTAGATACAATTTTGAACTTTATCTTGTTGAATAAAGGTTTAAATTTTGGGGGTATTGGTGACCTGGGGGCTTGTTAAAAATGCAAATTCTCAGTCCCTACCTCTAGGGATTTTAATTCAATAGAGCAGTGGTCAGGCTCTGAAATCTGTCTTTATATAAGTATGGTACTGGTGATCATTGATGCAGTGCATAGTAAGTATAAAGTCTGTGTGTGTATAAATTTGGTAAGTTTATGGTCTTATTTTAAAAATGTGGCTTTCATTGTGCTCTGTTAAAGATCATTTTAGATAGTTTAAGGATAATCAGTTTTGATCACATGAGTACTTTGATAAATTGTTTTTTGTTTCCTCAGATCACCATCTGGTTCAAGGACACCTAAAAGGTCTAGGCGATCACGGTCTAGATCCCCTAAAAAATCAGGGAAGAAATCCAGATCTCAGTCCCGGTCTCCACACAGGTCTCATAAAAAGTCAAAGAAAAACAAACACTGACATAGATTTTTAAGATACTGTCACTTGTTGGAAATGCGGTTTTGTTTTGTGCCTGAACAGTCTGTTTTTAAAAAAAACAAAAACAAAAAATCAAATGAAAGAGCATTCCTGGGTTTTTTGTTTGTTTGTGAATGCATGTGTAAACTCATGAGTAACTGCATCTGTAGATCTGTCATTGTTTTATATTGTGTAAATTACTTTCGTTGTGGCTGTTTCTCAAGATGAAATTTTTATTGTGCTAATGAATTTCATCAGAAATGTGTATAATGGATCTGCTGGCAGTAGTAGTATTTTGTTTTAGGATGTTGTGACTTAGCAAAAATAATACTGATGTCGTCCCCCTTTTTGTAGCTTTGACAGTTTGAATTAGATTTCAAATAAAATCTGAACAGAAAACTATAATGTTGTTTTTTTGCCCCATTGGTGATATTAAGTTCCTTAAAGTCCTCCTAAGTGAGTTTGGCACTACTGTTATGTTTCTTATACCTAATGCACTTTATAAGCTCCAGTGTTCAAATAGCTGAAGTTTTATATTTACTAAGATGACTATCCACATTAAGGGACCTAAGACTCCTATTTGGTGGTTTGCTAAGCAGTTTCTTCCATAAGGTTTTCTTGGGTAGTACTAGTGTCCAAAGATCAAAAGACTAAGTGTATGTGGCATGGTATTTTGTTAATGGGATGCCTGGCTAAAACTTTATCTTTTTTCACAGAAGCAATATGATTTCAATATGCCCAACCATGTTCCGAGCAGCTACTTATTTTTAGGGGAAAGTTAAATCTTTCATCTTTTGATTTCACTTCTATCATGAAAGAAGTTTATTTATAAAAGAAATTTTCTAACAGAATTTGGCCATAGAATTCTTTTGTATGATAATTGCCCTTTTATAGTCTTCTGTAGGCTGTCTTTCAAACACTGGTAACAATATTTTTTACAAGTTTCTGCTGAAAACAGCTTAGGTTTTTGTTGTTGCTGTTGTTAAAGGGATTTGGTTTTGGTTATGGCTTAAAGTAAAATTTAAAAACTAAATGTTTTTCGAGAAATTTAATATCCAGTGGTTTGTAAATTCAAGGCAGAGGTAATTGATTTAAACCATTTGTAGAATGGAACTCTATTATAAATGAGAGTAAATTGCTACATTATGAGGAAGAAATAAGAAAATTTGTGTAATGTTGGTCATAATATTGCTATAAATATAATAAAGGGTTATATAGATTTGAACTGATACTATTATTTGTGAATCTTGCTTTCAATTTTTAATTTAGAATGGGTTTTCCTCACCAAAAGAGAAAGTAGAAAACTATTCTAATAATGGAAGGTTTTGATTTCGCTTGCTTTTATAAAAATGTCTTTTCAACTTGTTTTACTTAATCTTGCCTAGTCACAAAATAAGATATGCTATACTCATAATTTGGGGAGTAGCTATATTAGCTGAGCAGTGAGGCATGCTATTTCCACACTGGGCAAATTTACAATAGGTTTGGAAATGAGCCAATCAGATTATTTTACTTAATGGTTCTTATCAGCATGCAAATATTGCTTGAAAGTTACTCCCTTATCATTCACCGTTTTATTTGTCCATTTTACTAGGACGTGTTAATTCCTAAAATTTGCTCAGAATAAGTAAAAGTGAACATTTGGTGCTGATAATCAAAAACCTATAAATATAGCCATTTAAAAAGTAACATATTTTTCTCCCCTGTTCATTGCCTGGGATAATGGCATTTGATACAATCTACCTTTCTTTGCAGAAATAACAGTAGTGTTGAGTTGCTGGTGATTTTGGTATTTCATCATTCACTACTGGTATCTAGTATAGGCTTAGAAATCATTGGTCACAGAATGATTTTTTCCAGTCAAGTTGCAAGGGATGCTTCTCTCTTTGAAAAAGAATATCTTAGAGAAGGAGGATTTGAGTAGAACATGTTAGGTCAGTTTTGGGTGCTTATTTGTAATATTTTTTCCTACTGCAATGGAATTTAGCAGTTCTCTTCTAGATCCTGATGCAAGCATCATAGTTTGTCTTATAGTGGGTAAAACTGACTTCCTTTTGGGTGGGTGGGTAGGGATTGCTTAGGCCTTAAAGAATCTGTATTCTGTGAAGTTTGTTAATGTGCATATTAGACTGTGTTGGATTTTTTTCTTGAATTACAAATAGTATTGTTAGATAGGTGATTTCCAATTTTGCTTTATGAGAAAATATCTAGAGGAAGCCTATTTAATTCCCCATGGATGTTATGAAAGTTTAATGACATCAGAAATTGGTGACTTTTAAGGGGGAGCTATTCTGCCATATTTTTATAACAGCTCACTATTTATCTGTTTCTCATCTAAAGAACTCTCTAGTTACATAGCAGTGTTTCTGTGGGTTGACTAAATAAACTATTCACAGGCCTGGTCTACTAGTTAGAAGAAAGACTGTGTTCCTTGTATGTAATAGATAGTTATTGTCCTCTACCACAGTTGCATATCAGAGGAAATCCTCTCTTGTCTACTGTTCTTATAAAGGCCATGACTTAAGCTCTTTACCCTCCAACCTAACATTTATACCCAAGGATTCCTCACTAGATTAATACCATTAACTCTGCTCTCTTCTACAGATGAGAGAAAGTAAATAAGTACTGGTCTGATTCTTACCAAAGAAAGACCTATGATTGAAAATGATCGAGTTAGTGAATCTTTTCTTTCACATTGTAGTTTCTTCTTACTGATGGTAAGCATATGGAAATTTCTGAGGTGTGACGTGTTGAGAAGTTAGAGATTAAAGAACTGACACAACAAAAAGCCCTTACCCAAAAGAATGCTTTTATTTGGCTCAGAATGTTTTGAACTTTTCTGCTAAAGTTGGCAGAAATGACTATTCACTGACATGATTTTTCTTTATTGCAGACCTTTCTTGTGGGCTTACCCTGAGACTTTAATCCCAATTAAAAAATCTTGTTGGAAATACTTGCTTATTACTTGTGTATTTTCTACCCAAACTTTAATATTCTTGAGCATTTGAAAATATTTTAAATAAATTTTAATCATGATAAAACTTGGGTTTATTGGAAATACTCTGTATACATTTGCCTCCATGGTGGCTTAAGTTCTAAAAAATAATGTGGCCATAATAGTTTGTTATTATTATTATTCAAAATAAGAGCAAATAAATCCATATTGCCAAAGTGACTTAAAACTATTGTGATGACCACAACAGTTATTTCTTTAGTAGAGAAAGTTGTTTTTAAAAATAAATAGTACCACTTTTCTAAGACTGTTAATTTAAAAAATGCTGTTTGGTTTTAAACTAGTGAAGATACTGCTCGTATAAGTTTAAAGGAACATGTGAATGTAAAAATCTCACATTTACAAAGTGCTTATTAGTCTATTCCTATTTCACATGCATGTTTTAGAGCAGATTTTAAGGAGTGTTTGATTCATTGTCCTTTTGGCTTTGGAAATTTTTGTTATCACCTTCTTAGGACTTGGATACTGTACAGATAAATACAAATCCCAGGGGAAGTGTGGTAATGAGAGACTAAAAGGCAGGAATGTGCTGCTGTTCACTGAGCCTTGTTCCACAGTTGACAACTCGATGCCTCAGTGTTTATTCAGTACCACCTCATGGAGCTTCAGTGTAAATGCATTGTATGTATAATTGGTAATTTGTATAGTTTTGTAGATCTATAGACAAAATGCCCTCATTCATTTTCACATGTAATTGTGCTTGCAGTATTTGTGTTTTATTTCTTTACTTTAGCCGGCTCTTGTGTGTTGTATCTCTGGTGATTTGAAATATCAGGAAGGACAGCTTATCAGAAAAGAGAATAATATAGTTGAAATCAGCTCAGCTGAAATACTTTACAGCAAGACATTTGCATTTGGGTGAACTGATTCTGTAATTTAGTTACTCTTGATGTAAGGATTAGGTTTATTGTGGAGCTGCTTTCTAGATCAGACTGTCACTTTATAGTTTTTCTACATAAAGATTATATAGATGCAAACAAAGGTTGTGGAATTTCCCTTTTGTTGTTTTTTTTTTTTTCTTTAATTACTTTAATAAAAATATGTTGTTTTCATAGCAAACTTAGACTGTTCATGTAATTTTCTCCATACAACTTTTCTCATGCAAGCCCAGAAAACTGTATGGTTTTCAGCAGCTTTTGCCAGTTGAAATAATTGATGTACCACATTTATCAGTTATAGCCAAAATGTTACTACATTTTATACCCTTAAGCTATAATCAAATAGTTTCATGATAGGTAATTGTCTTGACTGGGGGATTTCATTTCCTTGCTGGTTTCCTTAAAAAAAAAAAAAAAAGTTCTGTTTTATTTTATTGAGGAAAATTTCAAACATACACAGAAGTGGAATGTATAAGGAACATCCGTATACCCATAAACCTGCAAATATCAACTTAGTATGTATCTAAGTTGATTAATAAGTAATTATTTAAAAAAAAGACTTATTTGTGATAAAATGCTCATAACAAAATTTAGCATCTGAGCCATTTTGGTAGTATTAGATATATTTCCCACACTGCTGTGCAGCCACTCTCCAAAACTTTTTTGTCTTGCAAAAGTGAAACTACCCATTCAACAACAACTCTCCACCCTACTTCGCCACCATCATCATTCTGCTTTCTTATTTTTACAAGTTTGACGACTCTAGTACATCATCTAAGTGAAATCATACAGTATGTATCTTTTTGTGACTGGCTTATTTCACTTATTAGCGCAGCATCCTTGAGGTTCATCCATGTCATAGCATGAGTTTTGGTTCTTTTTTAAAGCCCGCTTTTTCTTTGAAGCTTCTGTATTGTGGAGTTTGAAAAGGATTCATTGGCATTGTCTGTTTTGGGTAAAAAGTTCAAAAGAAAACATGTAATAATAAGTATATGTGCCAACTAGTCCACTTTTTAAAATTTCCCCCCCATTTTCACAACTTTTTGTGCTGTGTTCTCTTTAATAGTTATATATGATATAATTTCATGTCAACGCTTCATAGCATAGTGTGCAAAATACACTTTTGAAGCAAACTGATTTTGAAATTATAATGGATTGATATTATTAAGAACCAAAAATATGTATATGCTTTTTTAGTTTTATTTACTGCCTGATGAAAAGGAAACTACAATTTTGACATATAGTAAGTTCACTGTTTTGATTAGGTATTTTGGCCACAAAAAAAGGAAAAATAACGTTTCTGACTTAAAAAAATTTTTTCCCCTATTCCTAGAAAACACAGAGTATCAAACTGTTAGAATTAAGTACCTTATTCTTTGATTTTTAAATGAGGTATGGCTTGGCACAGTGGTGGAGGAGAAGGACGGGCCTGGGCTGTGGGATCATTTGCGTTTGTATACTAGCCCTTTTCCTCTACTAACTGTGATCTTTTGGAATCTTGTTTTCTCATCTATAAATTGGGGGTATTCACTTCGAGTGGTTATTGAAAGGATGGAATCGCATGTAAATCACTGGCACATGTTGTCATACAGTGGCGCTTTTAAAAGATTTTTAAGCAGTCTTATTCTTGAAAACTAATGCTGGGAATATCTTATCACTAAATCAAGATAAACAGTAGCACTACAATTCTGTAACACTGATAACCTTTAAAATACTTTTTTTAATACTTGATTTGTGTTCGGTAAACAGATTTTTATTAACTTACATTTGGGGATATGTTGGCATATTTATTGCATACAGAGTACCACTTCATAATTTGCTGTCCCAATCTTTTGGATCACATTTAGTTCTTAATTTCCTATGAGAAAAACATTTTAAAGTAGATTTTTAAAAAGTACTTTTTATTCGTTGTCAGTTACTGTTGTGGAATTCCACTAACTTGAAAAGGGGAATCCCCCATAAAGAAAAATCTAAATATAAACAGCTGAAATAGGGGATATATGGAGAAAGTCTGGAGAACAGTATAAAATATGTTGAAGCACTGGATTCTTTGTCCAAGTTCAAAGTAAAGAAAACCTTCGAATTACCAGAGCTGAGAAGCAATACCCAATTTTCACAAAATGGGAGAATAGAGAACAACATCCTGCTAGAAAACAGTAATGTGAATGTAATTGAACCCTTGTATTTTGTGTATATTTTCAAGTTACAGTTTGTATTTTGAAATTATACAGGAATAAGAAATGCACCCTAAAGCTACTTTTAGAATAGAGAGACGAAACTATATAGTTTGGAAAGGAAATTACACTTTAAATTCCATTCCGATATAATGACTTGGTAG